TATCATTTCATCATTAACATGAATATTTAGCTGTTATACAAACACAGCTGACGCATGTAGCATTATCTGTTATCTATTATACAATGCGCGTAGATGCTGAGTATAATCGGGCTGCTCAAGGCAAACTTGTCGTGTAAATGGGTGCGCAAGAGCATGTGCATAAACCAGTAAGTGCATCTTTTTCCAAGTACCACTATCGAGTTGCACGCGTATTTTATTGCGTTGCAATTACTTGAATACACGGTTGCAACGCAGCTGTCAGCTCTCACTTCCGCGTTGTTAGTTTCTTTGTCTTTAATATATTGCACGTTCAAAAGTTTGCTTTCTGATGCAAACATCTTTTGCGTATCATGCGTTATTTACCTTCAAGTTTCTTCGTTCATGGTATTTTCTATGATGATAATTGTATTAAAATTTCCTCCTCAAAATTTCCAAATTGCAACATTAAGAACAGGATACTATGTAGGATTTATGCAGCTAGAAGAAGCAGCGTATGCTAATGTATACAAATTTTGTTTCACACAGTGTTGTTGTGTAGGTGACTACGGAAGTATTCAATTAACCAGGATTCAGTTCCATTACATCATATTACGGACATCTTTATTTTCATTACGTACTTTCGACGTTTGTGACGAGAGGCGTTTCAATACTCAGTAATACTTGCATCTTAGTCGTCGACTTAGGTCTCAAGTACCGTAAGGATGGCCTTTACGTACCCAGTTGCTAGAGAACCGGCTCGTGGCAACGATTCCTTGCTTTGTAGCTGGTACAACTATTCCTTGAATATAATCGATAGTCCACCATCAAGATCGGTTATCGCAAAATGGGCTTATTTACAGGTTTTATAATGTTTACAGTTCTCGCATGTTTAATAAGTAGGTACTTACTTATGTAGTTAAGTTCCTTATGATGTATGGTTATAACGTCGACAACTATAGTATGACTTACTTGTGTGGTATCAGAAATATTTAGACACGGTCATGAGATCATTCGCGTGTAGGTTACTCTGTAAGTGGTATCGAATGCTCGAAAGTGGGTCAACTAGAATGACGCCAGCGATAAACGAACCCTCCTCGCCTCGCCTGTTCATTATCAATTTTATCCAATACACATTGTATTTGCGCCTGCAGGTTTGCAAACTCTACCGCATTGCAAATGATGTACTTATATACTTATTGTACACTTCAGTATGAGAACGAGTGGCGCATTTGAATAGAGTACAACAACGCAGTAGAGTCATTGCAGCCTTGTCCTATTTAATGGGGCTTCTCTTGCAACAAGGACCGTCTGTGACGAATCATAAAGTTGTTTATGCGTTTGAGACAATACAAAACAAAACAAAAACAATAAAATGCTTGCGACGAGCGAGACGACGAGGTTTGTTTCTCATCGTTTGTTTATATCCGACTTTCGAGAATGACGATAGTGTTCTACATTTATTGCTTAGTAACAAAAACTGTATTGAAAGTAATACTTTTTACGATTCGTAAACAAGCGTCCCGGCCAAATCGTGACGCTTGCTTTTTAATATGTTTTATTTGACTGCGTCAAATATTTCTAGGATTGTACGTAGCTGCTTTAAAGTCTTTAGTGTCTAACTTCAGTTGAAAATGTTCAGATTGTGCTCATGTCGTAGAAATTTATCGCGAGAATCTTTAAAATTCCATGTTATGCGAGTGTAGTTACGCATTTAAAACGTTTAGATTTACAATTCAGTAAACCAAACGTTGTTTTATGCATTCGCTTGTACCTACGGCTACGGGCGCATAAAATGCAGTGCGCAATGCGTTCTGTTGTTGCCGTGGCACCAAGGCCGCGATGCAATATAGCATTGTAGGTAAGTGCATCGTATGATTACATCACGCGGTCACGAGCACCACTAGTAACTACTACTTACTACTGAATTACAGTACCTATCTTAGAGCAAAGTATCCAGTCATGCATCTATTTTCATATTGCTAGGTATTACAAATGCTTACACATACTCGTATAAACAAATTTAATTATTATTTCATCATTACTTGCTTTTGAAGCTAGTTTTTCTTTGTAATTGACACAACCATCTAAGACAAAATTGACGTTCAAGTGGCCACAATAAGGCTGCAAGTTGAAGGGACAGCGCCGCCGCATGGAGATCTCCTACTGGCGGCGCACCTAGAGACAGCTTCAGTTATGTAAAGCGAATGCGATGCTATGACGACCGTCGTCGAATGAACTCTATAAATAGCGGTCGATCCGTCCTTGAGCCGCTGCGAGTACGCACAACTAGGTCAGGCCGAGCTGCCTTATGCTAAGCCCTGTCGCCCGCGCACCCCACCTCACGTCGGTCGCCCGCCGACTCCACGCTGCTTCATAATCTACATAACGCAAACCAGCTCAATTCATAATACATTTCGAATAAACACTTCCTAGTCCGTATCTACGCAGCTGCTAACCAGAATTTATCGGCGTCATAGCGAAAGCAATACATTTCTAGCCATTTCAATTAATTGAAACAATTCGTAAACTTCCTAGTTGGCATTAAATCAATTCACCTAACTAACCAGCTGTTCATTCAGTGAATGCTCAAATGATTTTTTTGCTCGTCGCGTATACAGCGACAGCACAATAAAAATAATGCTTCACCGAGCGAAGCATAAGTATGTATATCGACGTGTATAGGTGCATAATTTCCCTACCTGAATGCATTGATAATGGCTCGTTGGGCAGCCAGGTAGCGAGCGGGATTATAAATCGGTTCGAAGCTCTACAATATTCTTAAAACACGTTTCTTTAAAATTTTATTCAACATTATACTTGTAACAAATACAGATGAACACGAGACAATTCCGTTTGATCATTCGTTTACCTGAGTGCTGTAAAATTATACGCGCTATGTGCACTAAAAGCTTTTTATGAATTCATTTTATGGGAAGATTTATGACTTTGTGCCTACGTAATGTGTTTGCGGGCTGTTAAATAATTTTCTTAAAACATGTAATGAAGGTACAGTCAAGAGCACGTCAACCTTGACACTTTGTACTTTGGACCGTTCTTATCGTAAGCGGCATAGAGTTGGATTTATGTCTTAAGTGTCAGGCTTCACGTGCTCTTGACTCTGTACGTAAGTACGTGCTAGTCTGTAAAACGCATTTATTGAATGTTACCTTCTATACTTTTTGTCAATCAATATTAACCACAAAACGATACTTAGTGTTGCATTTTATTATCATTTGTCGTATCGAAATATCCCAGATTGAACATGTATATAGAAGATGCTGCTATAAAGAGTGTATTTTAAAGATTAACAGTCATTTCCAATGTCATGCCTCCTTATGAAACCCTTACCATAAACAAGTTCCAAGTAAAGTTTTGAATATATCAAATTTTATAGAATATTTTAAATACCATGTTAATTACAACATTCACTTATAGACATTTCTTTAGAATTTTACTTAAGTAACGGAGTTGGCGACTTTTTTATTCCAGTTGAAAAAACTTCAAGAAAGCTTGTAATACTTACTGGGGTCGTATTTTACAGTTTCTTCCACGACGTAAGAATTAGGAAGTTACGAAAGTTGGTTATATTTGCGTGTCAATAGGCAATTAGCTAATTCCGTGGAATAATGTGTATTAGAAGCCACGATATTGCTTGTGTGGAATATGTATGTCGAGCATTGCCGCTAGCTACGAGACGGTGAAAGCTCTACGACCACATCTAGCATGAATGCGTGTAATCATCATTTAATTTTAGGTTCAATATTCGCCGGTGTTGGGGTGTGCACCGGCCGGCACCTGTCCCGCTCCTTTGTTTTGGCTCGTGCGTGTAAATGTCAACAGAGGTCGTCTAAATAAAGGCGGTTTAGGCGTCCGATTCGGACCGCGATCGCTGTCTAGACGTTGCGTTGCATCGTCCGATCGATTGCACGAACGAGTCTCAGACGGTCGTCGACCCCGCGGGCGCATCGGTGACGTTACGCTCCGGTGATGCTCTCCTCAATAACCTCAAGATACGGATGTTATGGTTGTTACCATTCCAGCTTTTGTATAATAAACACCTTGACATGTCTTCGCCGCCGCATTCCTCATTCGATCATCATCATGCTCTACCATATTTATTTTTATTTTGACATATTCTCTGGTTCCGTGATCTTAGCCAGGAATTACATTAGAAAGTGTCATAGGTGCTGACTGCGATGAGTTTTGTTATATTTTCTTCAAATATTATACAAATATTTAATTACTGTCACTTAATTAATATTTACGCACTTTTTTATTGGATTTTGTGTTGACTTCTAGTAGGGTATCTACATTCTTCTCTTATCATAATATTAACCAAACAATTTTACTTTATTTTGACATTATATCCAGTTTTTTGAAACGAATTATAAAAAAAGTAAAGTAATATCATGTCATATTTTTCGCATATTCGCATACGGAATGGAGTAATAATTGAATATTCACTTAATATTGAAATGAATATACGTAATGTAATCTGCGTTGTATAAACACAAAGAGGGCCGATATAGAATTTGAGACGAATAGAAATCACAAAAACTTTATGCATAGGCTTTTTGTCGTTCTTGTAATTTCAAAAGATTTAAAGAATTTATCTCGGTGCAGAATGAAAAGGCACTGCGCTCTAAATCAGAAAAAAATTGTAAAAGAAATTAAGAAGTTTTATTATCTGGACTTTTATATGGTTCTGTTGTACTGGCGCTTTGTTATGACAACATAGGCTTGGTGTGTATTTTATGTATTTACGTGTCGGTCGCCTGACCTTGCGGGGCGGTCAAGTGCAGTCGGTACTTTAACATTGTTTTCTAGATCGTCGATCGGAGAGAAACAATGCTGTATTTGCGTAACTTTTTAAAAGTAACCGGAACGCTTTATTACCCAGTTCTTTGTCTCACCTTTAAGGGGTAATGCTGAACAATGTGTTGTGTAATAAAGTTTAGTTTGTTACCGAGTTTACGGTAATAGGGGTTGTACATGGGGTGTTTTGTAATTTGTTCCGACAGGGCGACAAAAGCGTTGCAAATGGCACTGTATGTGTCACCTGGATTCACCCGCGCGGCAGATGCCCATATGCGGCTGGCGTTGATGTTCAAGGCGCGTCGGCACTGGGGTGCTGCTGCTGCCCACTTCAGGCGCGCTCGGCTCGCCCCTCACCAGGATGCCACTTTCACCCGCCTTGAGCTCAGCTTCCACGTCGCACACCTGCTCGAAGCAAGAAGCCTTAGAAAAGCTGCCAGAGATGCTTATGAAAGACTATTGAAAGAACCGCAACTCTCTTCATCTCTAAAGGCAGATGTCTGCAGACAACTTGGTAAGCATCGCTCTCATAATATATAAAAGTACACGTACATGTGCAAGTCCCATTAAAAATACGAGGTTTCTTCCCTTAGCGAAGGAATACTTCATTACATACTTACGCAAAAAGGGTTAGAACAAGTTTCTTTGGATCGCATTAGGTGCACGCAATTTCGCAGAAAGATCGTTCGATTATACACGTCACTGTTTGTACCTACAATAGTAAGTACTGAAATGTTTAAATTTGAAACGTAAAATTAATTAGATGCCATGTACCTCCACGTTCATTATCATCATTATGCGTACAACATGCATAATCAAAAAGGACCTGAAAATAAAGTTATTGTATAATGTAGGGTGGCTGTATCATCGTTGTGCATCGTTGGGCGAGACCGCGGCTCGAGCTCGCGCGGCCATCTGGTGCCTACAGCGCGCGGTCGCTGCCGAACCCGACTCTGGCGCTGGTCTCTACCTCCTCGGTCGTTGCTTCGCAGCTCAAGGAAAAGTCCACGATGCTTTCATCGCCTACAGAAATTCAGTCGAAAAATCGGAAGGAAATGCTGATACTTGGTGCTCAATCGGGTAAGTTTTTTATTTCCTTTAATTTTTCATTTTCACTTTTCACATGCTATTGTCCCAATGCAGGGCATAAGCCTCCCATTTCCTTTTTCCACTCATTGCGATTTAACGCCGCGCCACTGCACTTTAAAATATTATATAAGAATTATTATATTAAGAATTATTGTAAAATTATTATATAGTGTGTGCGGTATTATTATTATTATTATATAATAATACCGCACACACTCAACATAGTCCCGCACCCGGGAAACCCTGAGTCGCGGGTGCCATGGACACCCACATAGACAACCACAAATTACATTCACATGAGAAATAGATGTAGGTAATACGAATATTTCTCTCGGCCTGGGAATCGAACATGGGACCTCTACGTGACAGTCCGGCATGGTAACCGTTCGGCCACAGAGGCAGTTATGTACGAATCTAACTCGTCACGCCATCTCCTTCTGGGTCTTCCACGTCTCCGTCTTGCGCGCTTGACTGCATTATTTCTTTAGATACTCGAATTTACAAACAACCATTATTAAGAATTTAATCTATTTATCAGCAACATATTTTATAAAATAAACAAGCAAACGGCAAATACTAGAACCACAAGATCCTATTGCGATTGCTATTGTACGTTAATTAAAGCAACACACGTCGGGGAAAAACGCGAGGCGCTAAAGTAGTCCTATTATAATTTTTCGGTTTTTTACAGAGTGTTGTATCAGCAGCAAAATCAGCCCATGGACGCGTTACAGGCGTATATTTGCGCCGTGCAGCTCGATAAAGGGCATTCAGCTGCCTGGACAAATCTCGGAAGTTTGTACGAGAGTTGTCAGATGCCCAGAGATGCGTTCGCGTGCTACACAAACGGAGGCGCAGCGGCGACGGCTTCCAATGCGGCCCTCCGGCAGCGTCTGGCCTTTTTAAGGGCGCACTTGGCGCACGCACCCATGCCTTCGGTTACTGGAAAGTGAGTTCAGCAATTTATTAAATTATAGACAATTATTGTTACTAGCAGGCATCAAATGATTGCAGTTTCACTTTGAATGCTTTAAATTTTGTAAAATCAACATCTTTGAGTGTTTCAAAACCACTAGGGCGTGTATACCAATGCCAATACTATCAGGTTAGACACCCTCGAGACCTTACACGTACCCCCGGGGTGGTGCCGAATGTGTTATTCATTTCCGGTGGGTAGACTTCTGTCGTAGGTGATTATCAAACTCTGGGCGAAGCCAGACCTGCCTTGCAACTACAGGTGCATTTGCGTTTACACTAGATCGACCGGTCGCCTTCTCTTGTCCGCCGAAAGCGGCAACTTACCTAGTATAAACACCTCAATGTTCGTGTTCGTTCGACGACCGTAATTCGTTGCCAAAATCTACAGTGTCGAATATGTGTTGGCGGTCGCATCACACCATGATGCGCGGCCCACGCGCCGGAGAATACCTGCCTACCCGATCAGTTTGTTAAACGTTTAGAACAATTTGTTGTATCCCTGGAGGTAAAATTGTATTTATAATGTTTGTGCATTATTTATGGTGGGCGAAGGCGGCAGTCGACTTTGTGGAAACACGCCATACTACTGTGGTTCGGCTTGACGCCCAGTGAAACCGCTCTAGAGCGAAGGGTCTCTACACTAGCATTGCACTGATGCAGCCAGTCTCGGTTTTCCCTTCTAGTTATCCAGCACAATTGTCTTCAATCTATATGAATGAAAAGGTTTACAAAATTGAGGAAGGTTAAGCAGCCGATGCACGTTTTTTCACTGAAAGTACACCTCTGAGACTACTAGAACTCAGTATACTCCAATTTGGCATCTGTCCATCACGACCTCGAGACTGAAAGGCCTCATTTGCTCTTCCTGACGCGTCACTTCAATGAATCTTATCCTTGGTGCGTTTGTTGTTTCTGAGAGTACGGCAAAGGAATCATCAAAGCATCTGTTACCCGAAAACTACAGTGTAAAGTTTCTCAAGACTAGATTTAATAGATAAACGCCAAACATCATCGCTTAACGATAAGTGAGATTATACACTTTAACAGTATCTAACCTACGTATTGGCATTTTATTGGTGTGCACACCAATTAAAGTTTACTTACATAGTATGTAAGTTTTTGTGTATTATTAAACAAATGCACCTATGATATAATCTAAAGAAGAATTTATTATTATTCCATAATGGTTATCGAAACTGAATTATTTATTTATGCTTTTTGTTTCGGAAGGCGTCGCCAACTGCCGTCTATCGAAGAAGCGTGGAACCTGCCTATATCTGCAGAGATGTCATCCCGGGCGCCTAAAACCGCCCCGCCCCCCTACCCTGGCAAGAGGCCTGAAGACCCTCCACCGTTAACCCAGCATCAATTGCAAACTCTTCAGCATCTACAAAGGAACTCTCATAACCTATCGCCGCAACAACAAGTAAATTGCTGCTGTGACATGTTATTGTACATGTGTAAAGATATTTGGTCCCTTCCAAAAGATAATAGACCGGCAAATGTGTCGCTTTAAGATTTAGCGGTCACATTGTAGATGGTCAATTTATAAATGCATATTTCTATAATAAATACTGTTTTTAAAGTCAAGTTTCGACTTTGTGTATAGTTATTGTTTATTTTAATGTAAAAAGGCTAAATTGGTAATTAATCTTTTCATTGATAATTTAGCCATGGTTACAATGTTATTATTCCGAAGTTTTTAAGTAAGAAAACATCACATAATGGAAATAAAGAACGCCACTAACCGAATATAACCTTCAGCTAATGTTAACCTTATCCCCAAACTGAGTAGACACAGAAGCTACGAATGCAATTGTGAACTTTCATAAAACAAAAATAGCTTTAAACAAGTAGTAAATTTATTACATGAAGCCAAAAAGAGCGCACGCACAAAGAAACACAAAAATAGTAATGAATAAGGGAAGGTTTGTGCTTGAAAAGGGATCGACGGTTCATTAGCGAAAAGTCCTAAAGTTATTATAAGTGGCTTTTTAGATTGCAATCATATGATACTTGTAATTTACTTTGTTCACAGGTTATAATGCAGCAACTGCTCTCTCAGTATCGACTAGCGCAAGCGGCGAGGGCGCGTGCGGTTCGTATCAAGATTAAAAATAGTCTTAGTTCTATAACTCCTCTTTCGACCGCGGCAGGTCTCAGGTTAAGAATAACAAAAACTGTTCGTATATTAATAAAATAATTGTTTATCAGGTGGCGAAAAGCGAAAACAGTGCGACCGGCGGCGACAGCGCGGAATCGCTTGCTGAAGACTTACTGAAGAGATTTTCTGACTCACAGCCTGATATTAAAAAAGAACCCGTTACAGGTAAGTATTTTTATCGAGATTACTATATCTAAAACATAGTCTTGCTTTTTCCTATCGTCCAAAGATAGATTCACTTTGTTTGTTTACAGTTTACTTTTAAAATATGCAAATGAAATCTCAAAGTAAAGCCCTCAGAAAATGAACTTTGTCAGTCACTGAACTTTTTTTAAATGAATGTCATTGTCACAATTTATTGATATTTGTCATTGAAAGGGAATGTTTATTTTTCTGTGATATTTTTACAAAAGGCTAATAAAACCATTAAATCTAAGCGATGAAGAGAAAAAAAAGGCGCAGTTAGTATGTCTACATATCGTGATTGACGTGAAACTAGATGTAGTGTTCATAAAATATGATGTTTTTGGCAGAGAATACAAGCAGCACGACAGGCAATGAAGCGTTGCTGGGCGGCCGCCAGCCAGTGGTGAAGCTCGAACCGCTCAAAACCGACCCTCTTAAGCCCGTCTCTTTCCACATTGGCATGAGTTCCAAGCAGATACTCGAAACTTGCAAGTGAGTTTAAATTGTTTTGTCATATCGACAGCGTATGTCATCACATTACAGTGTATTGTCGTCGCGATTAAAAATTTTCCAATCGGCTTAAAAGTACTCAGCGATTAAGCATGCGCAAGAGGAGCACGGATAGTACATCGTTGTAGGGAGGCTCCTTTCGGCCACCCCAGTTTATTAACGCAGAGTTTTTCATGTTCCTTGAAGATGAAACGTTTTCGTTATGTATGTCGTTAATTCGTTAACGTATGTGTCTTTTGTCGCTCTCCAGAGAAAACGCGGGACCACCGACAGCGTGGTCGGTACTGGGCGACGGGCACGGGCCGCCTGAGCCGCCGCCCGTGCCGCAGCCGCGTCTTACGCCCGAACAGTTGGCGCCGCCCGCACCCTTCGTCTACGTGGAGTCAAAGCGCGACGCCTTCTCGCCACAGCTGCAGGATTTCTGTCTCAAACACCCAATCGCTGTGGTGCGCGGTCTTACCGCTGCGCTTAAACTTGATCTGGGCCTGTTTTCCACCAAGACGCTGGTAGAGGCGTGGCCCGACCACTCGGTGGAGGTGCGCACGCAGCTGATGCAGTCGGCCGATGAGAACTGGGACCCGACAGGGAGACGGCGCGTGTGGGCGTGCGCGTCGCATCGGTCGCACACTACGGTGCGCAAGTATGCGCAGTACCAGGCGGGCTCTTTCCAGGAGTCGCTGCGCGAGGAGCGCGAGCGCGGCGCCGCCCCCGCGCACTCTGCTGGCGGCATGTCCGATTCCGACGGCCGCGAATCGGGCTCCGGACCCGTCAAGCGCCGTCGCGGCGCACGGATGCTGCGCTTCGGTACCAACGTAGACCTTTCCGACGAGCGCAAGTGGCGCCCGCAGCTGCAGGAGCTCCAGAAACTGCCGGCATTCGCGCGAGTAGCCTCCGCCGCCAACATGCTCTCTCACGTTGGTCACGTCATTCTCGGCATGAACACCGTTCAACTATACATGAAGGTCCCCGGCAGCAGGACCCCCGGCCACCAGGAGAACAACAACTTCTGCTCGATCAACATTAACATCGGTCCCGGCGACTGCGAGTGGTTCGGCGTGCCGGACGCCTACTGGGGCGGCGTGAACGAGCTGTGCGAGAAGCACGGGCTGTCGTACCTGCACGGCTCGTGGTGGCCCGACCCCGAGGAGTTGCGAGCGCACGGGGTGCCGGTGTACCGGTTCACGCAGCGGCCCGGCGACCTGGTGTGGGTGAACGCCGGCTGCGTGCACTGGGTGCAGGCCACGGGTTGGTGCAACAACATCGCCTGGAACGTGGGCCCGCTCACCGCCCGGCAGTACTCGCTCGCGCTCGACCGCTACGAATGGAACAAGGTGCAGAACTTCAAGTCGATCGTGCCGATGGTGCACCTGACGTGGAACCTGGCGCGCAACATCCGCGTGTCGGACCCGCGGCTGCACCGCGCCATGCGCACGTGCCTGATGCAGACGCTGCGCGCGGCGGCGGGCACGCTGAACGTGGTGCGCGCGCGCGGCGTGCCCATCCGCTTCCACGGGCGCGCGCGCGGCGAGGCCTCGCACTATTGCGGCGCCTGCGAGCGCGAGGTGTGGCACGCGCTGCTGGTGCGCGAGCACGAGCGCCGCCACGTCGTGCACTGCCTGGCGTGCGCGCGCCGCGCCGCGCCCTCCCTGCAGGGCTTCCTGTGCCTGGAGGAGCACCACGTGGACGAGCTGGCGCAAGTGTTCGACGCTTTCACGTTGCACAGGCCCGCGCCGCCGCCGCACGCCGCGCTCGTCGCGCACCCCGTGCACCCTGCCCACCCCGCTCATCCCGCGCCGCCGCTGCAGACACCCTCGTTTGTGCCTACGCCCGATTGAGTACTGACGGGTGTTGATAGTTAAGGCTAGGCTCTTGTGTTGTCCGGTCGCCCGATTCTCCCTCGACACTGACACGCCGCCGTGGCTTCTGATGGCGGCCGACTGCGACGTTCGTCCCGCAGAGGTGAAGCGTGTGGGTCTCGATGTCGGTATCCGGTTCGAGTGTTGACGTACCTGTATTTATTTTGTGCTAGTATTCGCCTTCCGGTCGACAGGAGGTAAGTTTATTTCGGTAAAGTTTTTTCGGATTGCTCGGTTGCTGTTGTCGTTTGAGAGCGTAGATTTAGATTCCGTATTTTAATTGGCATTTCACATTTTTTGGTACAGTATTAGACGCTAGTGAATATAACTTGTGGTTTTGACCAAATATGAAAAGAACAAACACGATCTATTTTTATGTGCTGCGAATTTTTCGGTGATAAAAAGTTGTAATTTTCTAATAATAAAATGTTTACATTTTACATGCTCCTCGATCACTTTTGTAATTGTGAGAGATAGAGATAAGAAGTCAATTCAGCGACAAGCAATGTGAGTGCACAGGCGAACGTTTAGTATTCGATGGCGGTGACCTCGGCTAGTGTATACATTTAGGTGGATAGGTGTAGAGATGCGTTAGGCAGAATGGGTTCGGAAGGTTACCGAGGTCAGGCCGCTTGGTCTCACGTGCTCAGGTGTTCACCATGATATAAATGTGTTATTTTTGTATAGAGGCGTATTTATTTATTTTTGTCGTACTGTGACTTCGTAAATTAGTTTGATTTTTAGTAGTCTGTTAGCGAATAGTAGGTATAAGAGCATCGCACGGAATGAGGCGTTGCGTTTTAGCAAGGCCCGGAGAAGAGTGCTGTAATGTCCCAAAGAACGTTATACTCGTGTAAGCAAGCAAGATACTAATGAAAATTGTAAGATATCAAACTTAGATTTCTGATTTCCGTGCCTTTTGTCTTGGGATCTGACACCAATATCAGACGATGTACTCTTGTTCGACGAGCTATGAATTCCCCAGGGGATCCATGTGGAGTAAAGATCTACATAAATCCCCCAGGGGATTCAAAAGGTCGGAGGGGACGAGCTATCAAATTCCGTACAATATTCAGAATCGATCGATCGTTTTAAGTTTACAACATGGCGGGCTAAACAGTCCGTCGTCTGCGTTGAACTTATTTGTTATTGAACTTGAGAACTATTAAATGAATTGGATTGTAACAAAATTAGACATAGTAAAAGAAATGTTTCTTGGCTCGATGTATATTATGCAGGTTAAGGTGGAGTAAGCTCAGGGTTGGCAGTACAGCTGGTTGGCTCGCCCTCGGCACTAAACGTTTGTTATTGTCTTGAAACTTTATTGACGTGTTAGTGAGATTTCAATGTTGATTGTATTATTTATAGTGACGAGGGCGAAGTCTATGGATTGCAAGCAGAAAAGAATTGTTCGGAATGTATAGCAAGTGCCGATATATTTATAAGTATCTAATAAATAACATCACTGCCATGTATGACCTTACTGTTTATATCGTAATATTAAATTTTTAATAAAGAATTTAAGTACGGAATATTGTGTTTCTATTTAGTGTTCTAATGAAATAATCTCGGAAGATTGCACTATTTATTTGTAAACGTATTACTACAATTACATGAAATAGTAACATATTGCATAAACTACATTTAGATATCAATATATCAAGTTTTTATCAATAAACACTTGTGCTAACTGAATTATAATATTCTTATAAGCAATAAACTTTATTTACTAAATAATTAAACATCAATGGGATGGTAGGAAGACTTAAAACATTGTAAGTGACACAGTTTTGTCTTGCGATTAAGCGTAACTACAAATAGCACATTAGACAAGGCCTAAAAATAATCTTTAAAAAATAAGATCTAGAATTTCGCTATTTCTTACTAACTTATGTGGTTTTGTGATGGCCTATGTATTTTATATGGCCTAGTTTATTTTATATTAAAAATTAAGTAAGCCTTTAGCACCTGTGTTGACTGTAAAAAAATAATTAAGTTCAAATCTTAACATTAATAGAGAGAGTTCTTTATTATTAATCAGAAAATTTATTAGGAGATTGAGATTAGAAAATGCACTAATTTGGCTTTCGGATGCACGGCATAATTGGACCTTGACAATAATTATTGTGTCTGAAACTGCGTTTCCGTTAAGCAAAGAACCTGCATGATAATAAACCGTATTTGTAAATAATGTATAATGGAAATGTGCGCTATTAATTATTATCTAAGGCAGCCTTCACAGTAAATACAAGTTTGGCGAAGACTAGTATTACTTAAAATAATTCAAGATCATATATCACTCAATTCATTATCATCAATTCACGACTTTGGTAAATAATTTAAATTTAATTGCTTATAATAAAATATCGAAAAATATATGTTGGAATCCATACAATAAAAGCCTATTACTTAAGATTATTCCTCTGTATATAAATATTACATGTCTGTGTAAATAAAGATAGTTAATTTCGTCAGACAGAAATGAGGCACCTTCGTATAGTACAAATTTGGCAGGCTGAGAATTAAGAGTATGAACAAGTCAGGTAAAATTGGGATAGTTGCGATGGAAATTTATATATTATTTATACAATGCAAATTCCATTTTAATACATAATTGTCATCATATCGTACACAGTAACGGACACATTTGCAGTAAAAGTGACAGACTGCCCACTTTCAAAGGTGTACTAGTACCTAGATGTACACATACTTAGTGCGACAATTATACACGAGAACGTTTTAAATTACAATTCGTTGCTTTCAACTATATATTTTTATTTATAATTGTATTTATAGGTAGGTATAGTCACTCGGATAATTACTTTTTAAAAAGTAAGCGCGACACTGTGTATCGTGTTTAGAACCTGATTATATTCATACTTTCTCTTTCACTCGTATCATAATTAACATGTGAGAGAAGACAAGAGTGGTTACAACATTGCCATTCTGAATATGATTAGACATTATTGTATGATTTATATTGCGCCTGTGCTAACACTACCGGGTCCAGGTCATACACCATGACAACAAACAGGACAAATAAAGCCCAAAAACGCGATTAAAATGGCGTACATTTTGCTCCATCATTACAAGAAGCAGCGTTCTTTGCGCTCAGATATGTTACGATTGAATGTAATTGGGATTTGTTCCAAGCTTAAAGACCTTTCAATATATGCAAACGAAGCCATCTTGCTTCATAGTAACATGATCCTACAATGATCAACTCTAAAAACAGCCTAATCTCGGGGCTTAGGCACACGCCCCTTTGAGTCTCAGGAGGCACTAGTACGTAGCACAGGTTTGCGCAGCAGAAGGGCAGAGTCAGCAGAGACGATCGGCAATTCGTTGGAGCAGTGGAATTTAATCAGGTGAGGCACACTCTCGAATACGCGGTCTTTTGTTCGCACCTGGAAAGGGAAAAAATGTTTTTATTATTAACAAAAGTTTACAATATAATACGAGCCCAATACGCCAACTATGATGGGTCGGGCTCGGCGTGCGGGGCGTGGTCGGGTATACATTACGGCGTGTGCTTATGCTCTTCGGTGGCACAGCGGTTAGTACTATGGGCGCTTGATGAGGAGGTTCCGGGCTCGATTCCCGATGTGGGCCAATTTAGGAAATTTAACACAAAACATTCTAAGTTGGTTCTGGTCTGGGTCTTGGCGTCAGAGTTATGGTTATTCTGGTATTCGTAGTATAGGAAATTCCCTAATTTGAGACCAGAAATTTGGTGTGATTATCTAGCATTTTTTTCCCCTAAATACTCTTTGGCGTAGCTTCCAAGAAAAAGGGCTCGTAACAGAGAGAGGGTCGAGATACAACAACGCTATAAGTATCTCATTTCCACTATATAGGGAAGTATGCCTTACATTTTGAACAATATTGAGATATTATACTTGTAATAGAGCCTCTACGCTTCAGGCTTCGCCCTCCGCTGAACCTCGGCACTTATGACTTTGTTTTAAAAGACTAACATAGTTCTTGAAAAAGGGCAAAAAAGTAAATTTTCACAGCGAATTATTAAAGAACCCCCATGCCGATTTTTAGTAGAATTGAGCAAAAAAAATTATTAAATACCCATAGAGGCCCCGCATGCCGATTTTCAGTCGAATTAGAGCAAATTTTTATCTGCCGCCAAAAAGTTTGTATGGCAGTCATATTGAAAAATGGCGAAAAATAAATTTGGATTGTAAATTATTATCAAACATCCATAGAGACACCCACATGCAAATTATGATTAAGGACTCCTAAAGACTTGCCATGCCAAATTTCAGCCGGATCGAAGTTTTTCTTCGGTTACCATTTTGAATTCACCATCATGAATTAATTTTGATACAGGCAGTTGACCACTGTCTCTAATAGTTTCCGTGATAGAACACTTTGAAATTTGTAAGATGTATGGCATCTTGTTTATTTGAATTTCTAACACTTTTTACTTCCGGCGGAAATTGAGCAGGGTGTACCGCATAAGAGTGCACAAACAATCCCTCCATATATTATAGTTTTTGCAGGCCGTTGATCAATTTTTTATATTTTCCACGTTCAGGTCTTCTCATATTTGATTCTTTGCCTTGGAGCCTATCCGCGCAGGTAACCTATCACAAAATAGAAAATTTTTTTGTCCGAAATAACGTTTGTCCGAATTTACATTACACCGAAAACCGAATTGTAACAAAACAGTTGTTCTTTCAGGATATGTTGAATGTTTATCGCAAAGACACGATTAAGTTCGGTTAGGTTAAGTTAGGTTTAAAAGAAAAAAAAAACCATTTTTCTCTCAAAATTACTTTTGAGCATATGAAATTTCGACCAAATGTAATTTCTGGAAAATGTCATTTCGGACTACTGATAGGTAACCATCCGCGCACAACGGTATAAATATCTTTTTTCCACCATATGGGAAGTATACATTCTATTTTTCTAAGTGAGTCAGGATTTGTAGCTTTATATATATAATAAAATGCTTACCATACCTGCTTGGTATATCAGGGGGTCTACTCTCGATCTCCGTCCGTCATCCGTCCGAAACAATTACTGCCAAATAAGCAATAGTTGACCAAATGATGAGCCGCGTGATGCGAATGAAGCTTCATACTTCATACTTGTCTTTTAATTTTGTCGAATATTACTTATTTGACAGTAATTGTTTTGGGACGGATGTCGGACGGAGATCGAGAGTAGACCCCCAGGATCGTAGAAAGTTAGGGTTGGTAGTTTCTGCCATATCGCTGGAGTACAGGCCTAATGGCTTCTTTAGCTTTGATACTGTGCCTTTATTTTTATGCTTACAATATGTGATGACAAGGCGTCTAATTAAATTGATTATATATATATATATATATATTATTTATATATATTTATAGTGTTTTGCTAACTGTTTATCCCTATTTGTTATAATTAGTAATCGGATATTTTAATGCTTTTTCATCTAAAGATTACTTTAACCCGTGAATTGCCGTCGAAATGTGGAAGCGGCTTCTTATATATTATCCTAAATAATCCCAGGATAACGTAACATGTTACGATTTTTATATTCTAAACACATAATATTATGCTTACTAACTTACTTCGCTGGCTCAGCGACCCGAAGTGGATCTTGGCCTCCGACACCAAAGTACGCCATTTCTTTCGGTCTTGTGCCAATTCCGACCATCGAAATCGTCGAAATGTGGAAACCGCTTCTTATATATTATCCTAATTAATCCCAGGATAACGTAACATTTTCCGATTTTTATATTTTAAACACATCATATTGTGGCTCACTATAAATCTTAAAGGTCTCACGGTGCCCAGGGATATGATAACTAAACCTCAGTTCTGTGAACCAGTAGCTGTAAATAGCAGTGTCAAATTTAATCTTAAACGATGGTTTCCGTAAAGGTTTGTTAAGAGTCCATACTACCTCAGCTCGAATTCAATTTTTTCCCGTACTATAGTCGTCACCAAATAAGAGGCCAAATTTGACACTTGTCATCGTGAAGCGAATAGGGATGTGGACTAATCATATCGGTAATAACATTATACGATTTTCACGATTTGTTCAGGGGGCTAAAAGGCCATGCAATTCTGTTAAAAGCAATTCATTTACAGAATTCCTTGCAATTCTGTAACAATTCCTCTGATTTTCGTAAAATGGTCTCACATTCCGATTAATTGTATCCAATTCTTTTAATTTTGATTTTATAATATTCATAAATGATTTATTTCGAGAATTTAGTGTAAATAAGTATGTTCATCGATAAAACAACTACATAAAAAGATGAAATTACCAAGAAACCAAGGATTTCATAAAATTTCAATTATTCGGCTGGCAATAAGTTGTCAACACAACAAGCAATCTCAAATAATGTTCATAATTTTTTCTAATATTTTTTAAAATTTCTTCTGAGAAATAGAAGTAACTCTGTGATATTCGGTGATTAATTGCTTACAACATTATTATTTAAAAAAAATCTTGAGTCGAGTGGCAGGAACACAGGTTTTGGAATGAAATAAAAGGTAACCAAGGTATTTGAAATTGCGTGTCCAAGTTTATCATTACCTAGTAAATAACTAGGTATATTCAGTACGTAATGTTTATCGGCAATACAAATTGAAAATTCGAGAACCCTTGTCTACTAGCTCAAGAAGTTATAACGTCTGATTATATTTATATAATAAATCTGTATTATGTATTACTCTGCACTAAATAAATGAAGAAAATAACTGAATGAGTCTCAGACAAGATTTTTTATTTGTTTTTTGTTCATCTTTCGGAAAACGAAAGAAACTCCTCTCTTTATCCCATTTAGATGACGATAAACAGCCGTACACAGCACGATTCACAACCATTATAAATAGTAATGTAAAATGATGTTATATATTAACGTACAAGTTTCGTAATTAATAAATGAAAACTATATTCAAATATTAAAGCCGTCTTAGCGCGAAAACGGCTCGCCGACAGCCTTATCGCCGTTCAGTCAATGTGACTGTCAATGTGCGGGGTGTGGGGCGGTAATTAAAGCTGGGGAGGGGCGGAGTGTCTGTTCTCGTTACTTTTTTGTTCTCCGACTGAACTGAAGCAGTTATCGCCGCGCGCCTATTTCATGAGCTTACGTAATTGTTGATGTCGAAATGAAAGATGTTATTTGTTGTGCAACTACAACTACAAGTAATACGCTTGTGTTTATTTTATTATTTTTTTTACAGAGGGACGGTGGTAGAAAAAATTGGTTGAAAAAAATATTGAATAAAAGCGTAGCTATTTTGCACGATTTAACTTTCACTGGGTTCACGGAGTAGCAAATTAGTTTACTTCCATTTTTAGTTATACACACAATCATACGTCGTCCATTTGAAGCGAAATAATCACTAATCACTCATGAATAAAAAAGTATATAGCATTTATTTACGGGGTAAAATAATAACAGTATCCCGTGTTGGGGCTGCTTTTAAGTAAAAATTACTAGTGTTAGAAGCTCCTCTCCTCAAAGTTACATTTTTACATGTATGTGTAAATAAAGAGATTAAAATGTATAAAAAAAAAAATAATAAGTTCATATGTAAATTAAAATATAAGTAACGTAATGAATCGATGTGGTGTGTGCGTGTGCTAGAGTGTGCGTTTGTGCGTGTGCTAATGTGTGCGTTTGTGCGTGTGCTAGTGTGTGCGTTTGTGTGTGTCTGTGTGTGTTAGAATAAGTGATGAATATAAGTGTAGAGCTTATTCCGACATATAAACGCTAGAAATGTAACATCTTACCACTCCATTAGGATCGACGAGCAATAGGTGTTTATGCACGCCACGACGCGCACCTGTCAGCACGAACTGTCCGGGGCATGCTGCTGATTCCCGGACTAAGAACTCACCGTCTTCCACTACCAGCTACAACAAAAAGATTTGAACTAATTCATACATTCTCCTGACAGTTTTCAGCCACGGGAACTGCTAAAGCTACACTGTTGGTGACGGTCATGCGCTCTCACGTGGCTCACGTATCCAATATTATTAGTAAATACCCGTGCGCATACGGGGCACATAAGCACACCGTCAAAGTAGTGGGAGCTGATCACAGCAGGTGGTCAGGCTTTCAGTTCGTCACATCAGACGTCTAACTCAATTCATTGACGGGTCTCAAGTCGTGATGTTTTGTTTAATATCACGTATCACAACATTCCTAGGATAAACAACCTAAAAATCCAGGAGTTCGAAGATAGACAGCTAATAACATGAGATTAAATTAAAAAATACGGCAGTAATACGCCGTATGGAACTCACTACTAAATATTGTTTTTGACCGGTTAGCTCGACGCCATTACAACTACGTTTGCTTTATTTGCAAGTGTAGTTAATTACCTCAACCTTTAAACTACAGTACATTTAGTTTGAAAAAAGAAATGTTTTGTCTCATTAAAAACTTAAACTCAAATAATCTTATTTCATAGGCAAATCACACTTGATTTAACTCTACTACCATTCGTAAGGCAGATTTCCTTGAGAAGAATGAGTAAGAAACTCTAGGGCATGCTCTTTGTAAATAAACATTGGTACATATTTCTCTAAAATATCATAGATCGAGACAACCTGCTCTGCAACAAAACTAGTCACTACCATGGATTTTTCTCATTCAATTACGAAAAAGCTGTATAATATTCTTAAACCTTTAGTGTAATTTAAGGGGTGTTTATAAAGAGATAATTTGAACTGTGTCGTGACTTCTCCTTTGCTTTTACGCAAATTGATAGTATATTGCTTACACGTATTTAGGCATTATGTTCGTACGAGTTACCTTTTCAGCAGTACTCCTAGAAATAGGGCCATGGAACCATGGTTCGCGAGCGAGCAAGGTCGCTTGCGCTTTGGCCGTAAGCGGCTCCGTGTCAGCCGGCGAGGATGCAGACGCGGAAGATGACGCAGCTGATGACGACGTCACCGTGAATGGTTCTGAAATTATATTTTGTAATATTAGATAAAATAACCCGATTGTACCTATCTATTTAGCCCCCTAATAACGTCCATATCAACAAAAGTAATAATAATAATGTACCATAGACAACCACACCAAATGCCTGGTGTCAAACCAGGGAATTTCTTGTACTATGAGTACTATAGCAACGGAATTCACTCTACGGCATTTCCCAGAACACCCAGACCAGAACCAATTTAGAAAAGTTCGTATCCCAAATTGGTCCTACCGGGAATCGAATCCACAATCTTTGCATCCAGCGCCTACAGTGCTAACCGTTGGATCACTGACGTCGTCATAATAAGTACCTAATAAATTATAAGTGTATCATAAGTAAAATGTGACGATTTATGTCACATCACAAATTACTAGAATTATAATATTATGATATTTATATATGAAATAAATGATTGTCTTCTATTTAATACGTACTTGTTAATTTAAAATGTTACTTTACGAATTGCGTCATTATATTTATCATGAAAGCGACATGAACATTTTTCTTTCTAATTAGATAAACAAATAAACAATAATAATTTATATATACATATACATTTAAATATATTTTAGGTTAAGGATAACAATAGACACACACACAACACGAGACTTCCTCATTAGGCGCATCCTGTGAGTCATTTAAACTAAAATGAGCACGTAATTTAACCATACAAGGGTCACAGTCGTAGTTCATACGATTGCTTTGTAAAAATCAATGATACTGATGAAGCAAGCTCTAAACGAATGGCCCAGATATAGTAATTAATCTCTTTGTTCATTTTTTAGATTTTGAAACGATAATACGAAATCCTTGAATTAATAATCATGGTCAAAGTGTATCCTATTATATATAATAATATTACTGCAATAAAGATTTGTATTATGGTTCAAAATGGCCAAAGGGATTTCTTGAAATGTTTATTTTTTTACTCATGAACTTCTTGCTTATGAGTACACCGTTTATTGAACTTGCATTGTGTCCTTTGCTGTTTATGTGACACTTTTCATCAGGAAACTTAGATCTCCTTTATTAAGCCTTATGTAGTGATGAATATTCATAGGATGGGTTACTGCATAATGTTAGTAAGTTTTTCGCTACGAATAATTTACTTGTAGGATACTCTGGGAACTTTCACCGTCTAACTATGCCCAAAGAACCAAGAAAAAGAAGATTTTTAATTGTAAAAATAGATAATGCAGTTAGGTAAATAGACGATCTCGGTGCCCCAACGATTTTTATTGGCGCGCTGGATGAGGAAATTGACAAATGAACTGACTTTTCTAAATTTGTTGTGGCCTGGGTTTTCTGCGAATGTCCCAGGGTGGATTCCGTTGTTCTGGTGCTCACAACACAGGGGATTTCACAACACAGACCAGGCAACTGGTGTGGTAGTCAGGCACAGAATTTATGTTGGAGTTTTTGTTGAGATTTATATTGTATTTTAATATCTTGAAGATCTTTTTCTGTATCAAATAATGCAATAAATTATATGATTATGACTACCACAAAACAGCATCAGTACATCCCAGATTGAACGGTAGATAGAAAAAAGAAGTGCACAGTGACTTAATATTCTATGTCACAAGGCCCGCAAACCATTTAATATATTAAGGATATTTCGTTATCTATTTTATCTATACTTAAACTTAAGAGAGTCTAATTGTCTAATCGCTCTATTTGAGAACGGGCATTCAAAACGAAATTGGGCATGGCGAATCATATTAAGCCACACGATAGGAATTAATTTCAAAGGGTCGCTGTTATCGAAGTCGATAAGGAGGGTTATATAATTATATAATACTTACGCATATCAAAGATATCTGTATGGTGGTTAGGTAATAGTGCCGTCGGAGGTGTTCTAGGTGGAGGTGTTTGGTTTACGTAGTGTCGTACGCTCTCTTCACATCTGGTGAAAGAAATAAGGACATGCTTGATTGAAAATTGTAATTAACAAACATAATTACACTTTTTTTTTAATACCAAGTGACGGGACGAACAAGTCGTGCGCCTGGTAATAAGCGACACGCCTATCCATAACAGTTGCAGTGCCAATCAGAGGTTTAAATCGCAAAGATCTTAGGGGCACAATACTTCAGTTAATAATCCGTATGCTAAAAGGAATAAAATACCTGTACTTGTTTTATTAATACCTGTATTATACAATTTAGTGTTATTCCAGGCTAGAGCGAGTTTTTTAGAAAAAGGCGTACTCACATCACACATCTCCGCTTAAAATCAGGCGAGAAAGTGACAAAATATGTCTATTTAATCAACTTCAAAAAAAGGAGGAGGTTCTCATTTCGTCCGTATTTTTTTGTATGTATGTTACGCGACAACTCCGCCATTTGTGAATCAATTTTGATGAATCTTTTTTTGTTGGGAAGAAGGTACCTCAGATGTGGTCCCATTTCAATTTCAAGAAAACATTCCACTTCTAAGAGTGGCAAACTAGGGGATGAATGACTTTTGAGGTCAGTTAAAGTGTGAGGCCGGTAAACGGTTTCGGTAATAAGGTCATATATGAAATCTTTTAAACAAGTTTGTTGAGGCCTAATGCAGGACAACGTCTTAATCCTCAAACAGTTTTATTTTCGTAACAAGCAGGGAGTTGCAAAAAATTATTTTACTTTATAAGCCATGCAGTACAATAAATAAAATGAATCAATAACAATAATGCATCCTGGAACGCTGGAGATACAGGCCTTATTACAGGAGGCAGGCGAGTTCACATTTAGGCTAAGACATTGAAGTAACCGCATACATGCTCGTGTCATGATCGGCTTTTTAGCAAAGGGACCCATTAATGTAGTCTCTCAGTATAAGTGTGATTCAATTTTTAAAAGCTCTAAGCTACTATTAGTAGTTTTAAACATGATGAACTAATCGTTGTACTAACGAGGATATGGGCACAAGATTCTGCAGTGACTGCAGCGGCGGCGGCGGTGGGTGCTTATGCGGTGTGGCCTCGGGTGGCATTTTGTCTGGCATGTCGTTGTAGTACTCGCGGTCCTCTAGCACCGGCGCCGAGTCGCCGGTACACAGCGCCCGAGATCCATTAAGGTTTAGACTGGAAATATTCGTCACAAATGGCACGGCTTAGTGTCATACTTTCAAAATCCACACGAATATGTGACGGGAGATTTTATTTGCAGACGAAAATTTATAATAAAGTCAGTTAGTCAGTATTTTTTTAATCAATTGTTACATCATTACCTCAAATTGTAATCCCATAACTAATATCATGACGCTATGTAACCATGATTACTAGTCAAAGGCACTTCCCGAGATATTGGGTTAGATAGTCTGCCTAACATATGTACAGTTTTGTTAATTTAATTCTATTACATGAATTACCAATATGAATATTACATTTAAGAGTTTTGTCTAATTATAAGCCTAAACATGTTGTGTTATCAGCTTGACAAACCCTCAATATAATTGGTTTTGTGAGATTTCTATATAAATTATAAGACTTCATTTCATTCATCATCATTAATTACAGATTCTAAAGAAACATTCATGTTACTACAATAGATAAGATTTTTTCCATTACTTATTTTGGTAGAAGTTTGGGAAAACAAAGCTCTGTATCAATGTCGTATCTCAATTCTTTATATTGGAATTTTTAATAATTGGGCAGTACCATGATGAGGTAGCATTAAGTGAATTACTTTATAAGAGTAGTTGCATGTTAATGTTGCTGAGAATATGCAATTTTTCTAGTAGATTCTTGAATTTTAGATAAGTGTGAGATAGGTGTTTGTGATACTAACGTATACAACATATTTCAATCTGATATAGTTTGCGGAACAAAGTAAAAAGTAGAAAGACAAACAAACAAGAAATAAAGAAACTACAAAGTGGAAAATGTATAAAAGCTGCTTAGTTAAGTACTAAAGTTATGATAGAAATATTATTATTAGGTAGCAATGTTATAAATAGAGATTAAAATGTCTAATTGTGTCTACAACTGTTTATTTGTCCTGTAATTGTTTTCATTGTATTTATTGTTACATGCCAAGGCAGCAAATAGCAGAAAAGTAGATAAGGAGATATTTAAGAAAATAAGATATAAAAGAAATAAGGAAGACTAAAAAAGGAATGTAGACAGCAATAATCTCAATGTATTAAATGAAAATTGGAATTGAGATAAGCACTCATTAGTTTGAGCAAGTGTGTATGTTCAAATATAAACTGATAATGAAGGTTGCTATACAAAATCATGCAGTTAGATACCAGGATGTATGAACGAAATTATGAATCACTGTTAGGCTGGACATTATTCATAAAACTTGTGATATTACATAAGGCATTTTAGTTTCATGACGAAAGTGGTAATTGATTCTTCAAAAATACTTATTTTATAAGGTAATGACAAGTAACAATACACAGTCATTTGAGGAAAACAAAAGAGTGTGAATATACATACTAACATGAAGATGAAAACATACTTCCAATATCAAACAGATCAATGTAATAAGTAAATATTATTCACATTATTTTCAATCACAAATTAATGTTTTAAGTAATAACTTACCTAGGTGTCGTTAGAAATTCTTTAAATCGTAGGTCGAAAGCTTGTCCAATAGTTGCAATAACATCTTGTGCCAGTCTGCCGCCACATTCCAATACATAACATGCTCTCCATTCAGCTGGAGGAGCTGACTTTGCCACATAAGCTACAAAGTCTAGTGAATCTGCATCACCACCAGAAGCAAATGACACTCTGGGCATGTCATGCCGGGCAATGGTTTCTCCTCCTTCTAAAGCAGCTAATGTTATTGCTCTGGATGAAACCGTTAAGGCAACATTTGATCCGGAATGCGCCATTCGAGGTTTAGCAGTAAGGGCACTGGCAGCTGCTTGGCTTACCCGACGCTTCTTATCTGCTGACCTTAGGCCTGCTGCTGCACATACTCTGGCTATGCACTCTCTGCAATGTCAAAATATTGTAAGTTAGCACAATATGTGTAAATCTAATTAGAAACAAGTTCACTTTAGTAACAGAACTGTAACATCATTGGACTATTTCAAGCATCTGTAATGTTTACATGTTTCTTTATGTAACATCCCAACTTAGTATTATCTGTTAGAACAATTATAAAACACTAGAAAGCAGTTATAATTGATAAATACAATCTCATTATATTATTTCAAATGTAAAATTGTACCTACAGATGTTGTATATTTGTCTACAAATACACTATATTATCTACATATTGTAAGAACATCTACTAGGTAAGCTATGATGATCGCAGTCATAGAGGCACATCACATGGCTCTTGTGTTCATTTAATGTGCATCAAGAAAGTTTGGTGTTTGCTGTATTTGTTGAATAGGCAAACAAATACATTGTCACACATACATCTACACATAGTGATTGTTTGCCAAATATATCAAATATGTGAATACAAATAGCCATGTAAAGTGCCACCATCACATACAAAGCAAATTACAAATGATTTGTACATACTCCTGCCATACTCAAATTCATTGTGAGATACTGATGCAATAAATAAAACAATATCAGTTGTAACATTAAATAGCGTACACAATAATTTATTCAATGTGCAATATATAGAAATTGCACTGTGTAAGATATAAAATGAATATTAAACTCTTTCAGAAAATAAATAGAACATACATAGTTACACAGTCACATACATGTGTTTTCAATAAGCACAATAAAAAAGATATTTGGAAACCATCTACACCATTTTTTTGTCATGCATAATGTGTTTTACAATGATTTAAACATACTATGAATATAACTTACTTGGCTACTTGGGATCTTGTTTCAAAATCCAATTTTTTCATAGATGTCAGGACTTCCATACAACCAATATACTGTAATAAAAAATATGTTAGTTTTTTCTATTGATTTGCATGAATAAAGACTTCCTGTTTTGATAGAGTACAGCAATGACATATGGAGTTTCGACAGGATGCTCACCCTGACTGCGTACGTGACTCCGTCGCTAGCCAGGACGGCATCTGGATGGAGCCAACCTCGCGCCGGCTTTGCCACGAACGAGCTCTCAGCCATTTCACCCAATACTGAGGCAAAATCACACCGATCACCACCAGACAATATCCTTTACACTTCAGTTACTCTCAGTTATTTTAAATGCACTTTCATTGTGATTCAAATAATTAATTCAGGTACGCGTTTGACAGTGGTCACAGCTAAATGGATAACGTACACTACCGTTACAAGTTCTACAGCTTTATTACTATAGCGGATGGTGTAAACAACTCATTATCGAGCGAAAGTTCAGTAAAATCGTGGGAAAATACGCAAATAAAGACGCATTAAATAAAATTGCATTCCACAAAAAAGTTCGATTCACACAACTTTCTGACAGTCGATAGGGCCATAGACTACTTTAAAGAAGGACATTGGATAATCTACAATGTAAACATTCTTTGTTTATGATTCAGTCTGTTGACTCTAATGACATCTACCGGTAAATTACTAAACTGGCTGCAAACAAGCAACACCTAGTTATTAAATTATTAAGACGAAGAAGCGCCAGTGCTCTATGGAATATTTACGGATAAAAAATCTGTAATTTTTTTTTTACGTTTATATTTTCTGATCGACTTTAAAAGAGGAGGATGTTCTTAATTGGACTGTATATACATATTTGTGTGTATGTTTCGCGGTTATTCCAGCATTTGTGAACCAAATTCGATAATTTTGTAGGAAAGGGGGTGCCTGAGTAGTGGTTCTATTCAGATTTGAAGAAAATATTCCACCTCTAAAAATAGCGAATTGGTGGATAAATCCGGTTTATTAGACTTTACCCACTTTCCGTTAACCAATTTCAATAAAACTTGTGAAATAGATGTAATTCCACAAATTTTGCAGTCTTTTTTTAATAAAAAGTTTATTAGTAGGTATTCTATCTTAATTACACCTTTAATCTCAATAGCATGTATTTGTTTTTCAAACACACCAAACATCACGACTGACTAAAGGGCTGGTTAAATTTATCAACCAGTTATGTCTAATATTAATGCAAATGAGCCTGTTCTGAACAATAATAGTATCAAAAGACATTAGTTTGAATAGGTTCTTTATTTGAATTTATAAAGAGTATTCCAATTTACCCTACTTACAGTTTGCAAAATATCTTATTTTAACAATATGAATATTTTACTAAATTCATTTATTTCTAATTTCCCTATTATTAATTAAGAGGAAACTGAAACATAATATTAATGAGCAGTACTGCAGCCTAATGTCTGCTTGTGATTTTTCACCAAAGGAAATATACAGGCTGTCCGGTAAAGAATGGATAAGCCTGAAATACCTTATAGTAGAGCTTTGAACGTTAAAAAAAAAATAAAAAAAAAAATATATCCCGTGTAGTACCTAAGATATAATTTTTTTCATTAAATTTAATTATTTTCACCTTATTTTACGTTTTTGTACACCAGTCGTGGTGTACAAGTTAATCCATTCCTTTGGTTTCTTGGTGTCATAATATTCTACATTAACTGTGCTGATAGACAGTAAATAGTATGACTAACTATGGCACTTAAATTTTTAAAAGTTTGTTTATTTTTCGGTGCAAAATATTTTTTTCACAAAGTTCAAGCATCTATGACATAAAAAAAAATTATGATAACCTGAGGGGCCAATTATTCTAAAATAATGTGTGTTTAAAGTAGATGTCAAAATGATATAATTCATTATTGTATCTAATATAAATAGAAAATTATTGCTATTAATCTGCAAAAGGAGATAATTTGACTATAAACTAAGTTTTCAAAATTTGTCCACTTTTTGCCCTGAATTGAGCTTGACCATTGAGGTACAATAAAAAAAAACAATATTAGAAATAAATACAACTTTATTTATAATTCGTTTACAGCAAATGTTCAAACTGTTTGCCACCGACTCTAATGCAGGCTCTACATCTTCGAATAAAAGCCCTTTTGAGTAGCCGCGTATATCGTCGTTCACTTATTGTTGCAGCTGCACTGGCACGGCTACGTAAGTCTTCCAAGGACCTGATCGGCTTACTATAAACAATTTCCTTAAGGCAGCCTCAATTAAAAAAAATCCAGTGTATTTAGCTCCGGTAAAACGCGGAGGCCATAAAATTGGACCCAGACGGCCGATCTATCTGTCTGGGTATGTTCTATTCAAATATGTTCGAACAGGGACCGCATAGTGCGAAGGACAGCCGTCATTTTGTAACCAATGGGATTCTCTCAGCTCCTCGGGCACTTCTTCCATTAAATTAGGAAGATCATTCTGGAGGAACTCCAAATAACTTTGACCAGTTAAGTTCCCCGGTAGTTGAAATATTTATTTATATTTATATATATATATATATATATATATGCCCTATTACTTTTCCATTTAATATTCCCGTCCAATAATTTATTTTAAACTGGTACTGTGATCGATCTTCTCGCATAAGATGGGGGTTTTGAGGTTGTCAGCTATGGAGATTATGTAGATTTAAATAGCCATCTCTTTTAAGATAAATTCATCGCTCCATAGAATTTTGTTAAAAAATTGCGGGTCTTCCTCTATCTTACCTAGCATTTGTCGGCAAAAACGTAAACTTGAAGCGTAATATCTCGGTTGGAAAGTTTGCACGCGTGTAACGTGGTAGGGATGGAATTTATTTTTCCTTAAAATATCATGCACAGTCGATTTTCCTATTCCCGTGTGTCATGCTATTACTTTCGTCGAGGTGGAAGGATCTTGCTCAATTTCCTCAAGCACTATCTCTTCGTTGTCACCACGAGGTATTCTTCCAGAGCTAGTACCACCAACACCACTAACAGGCATTCTTCCTTCTGAGTAACATGCATGGACTCTCATGAACATGCGGTAATCTGGGTGACGAGCATTAGGGTATCTTTCCCTATAAAGACCTACAGCTGCATTTGCGTTGCTTGCACATTCCCCATAAATAATGTGCATGTTTGCGTATTATATTCTTGGGGCGTATACAGAATGCGTGGCATTTTTATTTACAGATCCAAAAACTCTGTTCAGTCTAGAAATAAGCCAAGTCGCCGCAATAACCAAACAAACAAAGTCCAAATCAGTAAGCAAAACGATAATTCATTAAAGAGCCAGGTCGTCGTTTTAACACTGATTGAAAATAAATCAGAACAATTGCGAACGGATAACACATGCGATGTCGAACTAGTCGAGTGATGCACTAATTCCCTGAAAACATTTGCTAGCCGACACTGACCTTCCTTATCTTATATAAAACAAAAGACGAGTGGAGGTATATTCACGGGTGGTACATTCATGATATATTAACAATGTAAAAAATTGTTTGGATTTGATTTATGCATTCTTATGCTGTAAACAAATTGTAAATAAAGTTGTATTTATGTCTAATATTGTTTTTTTTATTAAACCTCAATGGTCAAGACAAAAATGGTCCAATTTTGAAAACTTAGTTTTTAGTCAAATTTACTCCTTTTGCACATTAATGGCAATAATTTTCTATTTATATTAGATACAATAATGAATTATACCATTTTGAAATCTACTTTAAACACACATTATTTTAGATTAGTTGGCCTCACAGGTTGTCATATTTTTTTTTATACCAAAGATGCTTAAAGTTTGCGAAAAAAAAAATTTGCACCGAAAAAGAAAATAAACTTTTTTAAATTTAAGTGCCATAATTAGTCATACTATTTACTGTACATACCTATCTATTAGCGCAGTTAATGTAGAATATTATGACACCAAAAAACCGAAGGAATTGATTAACTTGTAGTCGTGGTGTACAAAAACGTAAAATAATTAAATTTAAAGAAAGAAATATCTTAGGACTTCATGGGATATATTTTTCTTCATATATTTTTTTGAACATTCATAAGCTCTACTATAAGGCATTTCAGGCTTATCCATTCTTTACCGGACACCCAGTATATCTAGCTTATATTTAGCAAATTAAGATTTTTTTTACTTTTAAGAAAACGGACTTCTTTTGCAAGCATCTGGGATTTGTCAAACTTAATTAAATGTAAACATGCCAAGTACAGTGCCTTGGAGCCGAAGTACGATTTTGTGCCAATTGCAATGGAGACTGCGGGGACTTGGGGCGCGGAGGCCAAAGAACTCATCAGGGAGTTGGGTCGTCGGCTTAGAGAAAGAGGCTATGATCCACGCTCTGGATCGTACTCGTACTTGGTGCAACAAATTTTTGCTCGTGTTTGTAATTTCTGTAGTTAAAGCAGGAGAGCAACGGTTCTGTTTACTTTTGTAATAAAGTGGCAATAAGAAAGAGTTTATATATGTAGGTATGTATATCTTTCACCCATAATTATATTGTGAAACAAACTCCATGCGTATATCCAGTCTAGTCCGTTAATCGCTTCTTCGAGAAAAGGTTGACTACGCACTTTCTTGTCCTAATGTTATTTTTTAATATATTATATTTTTGTATGTGTACATATTTATGTCTATGTATACTGATGTTATTTATTATACGTTATGTAATCTATTTATTCGTAAGTAAGGGTATTTACTTTTTATTTATTTGGTAGTTTATAATTTTTCTCTCTCATTCTCTCCTGCACGCTATTGCCCGCTTATAAACTTTGCACTTGGGTTGGCTGGAAGGGATCTCTTTTAGAAATAATTCCATCTTTGCTCACCTTCTGTTCAATTAATATTTCTATTGTATTTGTTTGGTACAGTAGAGACAATATAGATATATGTATAATATATTGTTCAAGTAGGTGTAGATATTCATAATTAATAGGTCAGATCTAATTCAATAAAAACACCGTTTGGATTTTGCTGCAAATTTCAACACTGCACTGATATAATTTTATTGCATATGCAGCTCTAATTAAATTTTTGCTTCAATCATTACTTTCGAAATCAAACGGCAATTTTATTTGTTCTCTGAAACTTCATAACAAGCTCGGAAAAATGCTTTCAGAACAGATTCATCAAGAAGCTCTACTGCTACTTTTATGCTTAAATAGGAGAGTTATAAAATTTCACATATACATATAAATAAATACCTACATTAGACAACATCACATACGTTGATCTGATCCCAAAGAAAGTAACCAGAGCACCTGTAGGTATTATGGGAATTGGAAACAACGATGGTGCCATAAATACCCAGACCTGAGATAATATAGAAAATTTCGTTTTTCTATATTGACTCGGCTGGCGTTCAAACTCGAGACCTCATAGATGGCGACACCATGAAAGCACTCGATCACGGACTTCGTGTTCTTTGTATTAATTTTATGAATTCCATGATTTTGACATTTATTGTAGGGTACGATTTGATTGCACTCATTTCATTCAGTCGTTGGATCGTTGAAGTTGGATCGTCGATTTTGGACATTTGATCGGTGGCAAACGACTGCTTGTATATTTACTACTAAGTAATGGATGCGACAAGCTGAGGACCGGGCGAAATAGCGCACATTGGGGGAGACCTATGTCCAGCAGTGGACTGCAATAGGCCGATGATGATGATGATGTAAATGTATCAGCATATTTATGAAATGAATAAGGAACAGTATTATAATAGTTATTATGCACCGTGTATATATAGTATGTATACATATACATAGCTGATACCTACAGCGGGAAAATAACTTTTTCACCTCACTAGCTTGGAAAGACTTTCTTTCTCCTTAGAAACTAAAAAGCGTTTATTCCACGCTAGAGTGGAAAAGGTTTTTGAAATTCGAACATGACAATGGACTGTAGCGCACCTAACTTTTTCTTTCGATAAAATAAAAACATAATGACACTTTTAACTACGCGATTTGATTGCACTCATTTCATTCAGTCAGTACATTATTTATGTAATACAAATTCGCTGATATATTTTATTCTTATTATTGTCGACATTAAATTGAGAACGATAACTAATTTTGTTTATTAAAACTTATTGGTTATAGTTCAACTGTTTTTCTTTCATCTACGAGTACCATACCTCGCTATAGTGAGGTGAAAATTTGTGTGCTTCGCTCAGCAACAAAGTTGTTTTGCGTTTCCTGCCTTGAAACCCTCGCCTCCCTCATGGTTCGATATATCATATTATGTAAATACAATATGTATGTAATATATTTTAAAAATGCTATTACATAAAATGTTTCAATATTTCTCTAAGCTAACGATGAATGACATTATTGAAATAATAGGAATAGTTATTCGGTACTTATTCTAGGTATGTAATTTACGATTCATAGGCAGCAATGTTGGATTAAGTATAGACAATAATCTTATATACTGGGTATACCGTTTGTGATTGATGGACAAACAAGGTTCGTTTTACCCCAAGAACGCATTCATCTTAGCGATATTATCGCTAAGTGCCCCACAGAGACAAAAAGCAGCAATCTCCGTTGCGTTTTTTTTTCTTTCACAGACGTACATTTTAGCTCACACATTATTTTATATTTGGTTCAGCATGTCATTTGTCTGACTTAGCCTTGAAAAAGACACTAGATACCTTTTGAGCTGGTAAGTAAATTACATTTAGTACGCGTTCCCATATAATGTCGTAACGTTTTATTTATCGTCAGACGACTGTCGTTCTTTGTTCCATTGTCACGACAGTCTGTCGTAGTAACGTCAAAAAAGTCGTCAACGACAGTTAATCGTGTTATTCTATGTGTGAACAACTTCATTTAAATATACAAGACACGACACTTTACACTGCACGACTATTTGTCGTCACGACATAATGGGAACACGCCCTTACAGTTACAAAATATAATTTGATACTATTGTTATATAATTGATAAGTGTAAATTTCCTCCGTTTACCTTCTAATCAACATAGCATTTAGATAAATACTTAAACAAAGCTATCACAAAAAAATCGCAAGACCCATCAACTGACGACAATTACATAACGTACTGTCGTCAATTCTCTTCTAACTTAAGAATTTTAGATCAGTTTCCACCATACACTTAGTAGCAGTAGAGCTCCTTGTTAAAGAGTTTGTCCAGGGAAGTAGTGCCGCCAAACAGTAATGTGAGTTTTACAGCGTTTCGATCTTGAAGAGTTACGAGTGCTAGTGAAATTACAGGCACATGGGACTTGTCGACTTATGTCTCAGGGTGATAGATGCAGTGGCAGTGTAACTGTTATGGACAGTGCTCCTGGTGGTAAGCGACACGCCTGTGTGTGTGCGCTTACTACCAGACGCACGACTTGTGCGTCTCGTCACTTGGTATCATAAAAAAACGATGTAAAAAAAAAATGGTTTCCACCCACCACGTTGGCCTTATGCGGTTAAGGCACAAGTATTCGATGTGGTTTCAACTCGATTGCTTCGATACTCCGTTTACGCCAGTGACAATTGGTAAACTAAATACTCTTTCTAGATCATAAAAATGATCTAGAAAGAATATTTAGTAGGGAGCTTCTTGTCACTTGTCTTGATATTTAAAACAAGTAAAGAAGAAAAATAAAGCAAATATACGCGATTTAAATCCAGAAAAATAGTTTCATTTCCTATATGTAACAATCGCGAAAACCTAAGAGCTCGAAATAAAAAAAAAATCTAATAAATACCATTTAATGTCACAGGGTCACAGATTGTGTAAATTAGTTTTAAGCCGCGATCTTTTAAGATTTTTATTCGAGAGGTCCACTTCAAATTTAGTGTTATGTCTATATAAATTACATATTAAAAATCCTAATTATTCTATGTATGTATAATGTTTATAGTAGAACGTTAGAAAATAATTATTTATAGGGATATGAGACCTCTCTAATAACTAACTCAAAAATAACATCATTATATCCGCAGTTATATCCGCGTCACTCCATCTGGCCAGAGGGCGTCTTACATTACGCTTGCTTCAAAGAAACTCCGAACTTAGCTCATTCCATAGCTCGCTGAGAACTTAAAACTACACAAATAATATCTATAGATTTATGATAATGTGCCAGACAACAATACTTTTACTTGATCTTAAACTAAAGAATTCCCTTAACTATGAATACCAGACATTGAATACCAGACATGGTACCAGAGCAAGAATTCACTCCGAGGCAGTACCCAGAACATCAAGGCCAGAACCAATTTACGAAAGTCCACTTTTAATATTACCTACTTAACGCTCTCTTCTTCTCATTGACAGGTCAATGCTTCTCCCCTATTCTTTTAATTTTGATCAGAAGAAACTTCACAAACAATAATTATTAGCATTTCTACATTATTAATTAATAATGTAGAAATGCTAATAATAGGTAATTTTAATGTCGTTGATTTAAATGTTTTCTATTTATAAACTGGTTATACACAAACAATAAGACTTATTTCAATATGCAATGTTGACCTCTATATTACAAATACGGAAACACGAACGAAAGGAATTACTCGGAAACGAGTGCCCTAATTCGACAAATACGTACCTGTGCAAGAGTTTATGTTCCAATTTCCAGCACCTTTGTATAATTTATGAGTTGGCTAAAGTGAAAGCCGGAATGTGTTATTTTTAATAACCGTACATGAATAACAAAGTTGTTCCCGTTTAGGACTTTTGTCGCCGACCGCTCGCCACCGCACCGCCTGCGACCGTTTATTTTTATTGTCAAAATCTACCCCTGGACATTAACGTAATAGCCGCCACGAGAATTGAACGACCTACGGGTATTTTTTAAATAAATTTGACCATCATCAAATTTTTATAATTAATAATCGTATTTTTGCATATTACTACTACTGTATAATTTTTACTATTGCGGTATTTTATATTGTAACTAAGTCTCGTTAAGACGTTCCTAATATTGTGTAAAAATTATCAAAATTACTGTTCACAGCGAGACTGTTTAACATAAAACAAATCAGGGTATCGTCTTTACCCGTTCGAAATTAAAGCTGAATTTAAGATAAACAGATTAAAGCTGCGGGGTGAAGATACGCAGGCCGCCCTTCGTAGCGGTGTAGCGTGTAGCGTCGTCGTAGCCGTAACGACCAAGGCGCGTGCGTGCATCAGTCGGCGAGCGCCGCGCGACGCCCCAACACGCGGCACGCGGCATGCGTCGTACCACCACCGGCCGCTGCACTACTAAATCTCAACACCGCGCGCCCCTGTAAGTAAACAAACCCAATATTACTGTAAATATTTGAACAAAAAATACTTCTATACATAATTAAAATGTTGACTTCGGTAACTCTGACTTCCGCTTCTCCGCACGTGGATCTATACCCAGCGGTTACAGTTCGCCTCTCTTCCGTCGCAGTTCGCAACGTAACAAATGAGCGGTTCGTTCGATAGCCCACTGCCCCTGTGAGAGGTTTCTAAGTGGTTGTGCTGAATTCAGATTGATTTGTATTGAATGTCGAGCGATTGTGAACACCACATCATCGGTTAGAGGTATTTCGTACTCCATTTGTGTCATTCCATTGAGGTTGGTCTTTTCATGTTGGTGAGGTAAATAAACGAAGGTAAAGCACGTGACTTTCATTACTTCATATCTACGTAAATTATAGATTTTTTTTTAAGCTCAGTAAAGAGTTCTGGATAATTATTGCTTTCTTAATCGTGAAACAATACTGTTTTGGAAAAATAAATATGTGCATTGCTCACGAAAAGTCTGTGATAAAAATATTGTGTAACTTAGTTTTTAACACACATATAATACGTTCTTAGATTGATAGCCTTAGCCTTATTCGATTAACTTAATAAGTTTCAGAACAAATTCATTACTACGAATCACCTGATTATTCAAATACATTCTCTAACCAGTACAAACTGCTCAGGTTTAACACCCTATGGTGCTATCACTTTAAGTGGAGACTTAGGCTGCTCGTTTGGCTCATCCGCATAGAACGCTTTTATTTATCGATGTGCCAGTTGCACAATTTACTGTTCGCCAAAAATGCCAGGTTTTCTAAATATTACATTAATTTCATTAACTAAACATAACAGATAATTTTATTACAAGTAATCGAGAATTATAATGCTGCCATGGCAATTATTGAAAACGAGGAAAATGGCAGATGTAAGATCACTAAATACAATCACGTGGTATTTATGAAAATAAATTTGTCTGTTACAATTTAAATAGTCGTCTGCTTTATTATAGATACTCTGGCAACTTTATAGATTTTGTTGGGTAAATGGTGTGCCGTAATTATAATTTGAATCATAAGCTGTCATATCATAACAGATTAAACGTTTTTTTGATAATCTTTCTTGGTAAATAAAAGAGCCGTTAGTCATGTTATTTTGAGGAAGGTCTACTACATATATATGTATATATATATGTGTGTGTGTGTGTGTTCATTTTCATTATACTGCAAACTCTACGAGTAGTTGAGACATATATATATATGTATATATATAATTTCCTCTTAACCACTAAACAGCACGAAAAACACATATACACTTAAATCACTCTAATTGAAGGCGCAGACTGCTCATTCAGCTCGTCGGCACCTCACAATCGACCGTCTAGCGCTTTCAGTCTTTTTGTTTCGCTACTAAGATCCCGAGAGCTCCGTAATTAGCCTTTTCAGCAGCTTCAGCGAAACTGCGGTTTCGCAGCCTTTAAGTTTACGGAAATAGCTCTCCAAGAATTAAAAATTTTAAACTTTCGTTTCAAATCTACGTAGAACTACAAATACGTTCAAAATAATTGTAATTTCGAACAGTATTTAGTTTCCTGTTCTGTCTCACCTGCTCGTAAAGTTTGCAGTATAATGAAAATGAATACACATAAACTCTACTTAAACAGATTAAATACTTTTTATGCTATAAATATTTAGTAAGCCCCACACTGGACGTGAAAGGCATAATGTTTAGAAAATCATTACTTTATTATTAAAATCGAAATAGAACATTGTGGAAACATAAATAACTTGCGGGAAAACATCAATTTTGAGGTAATCGTATCTCCAGAAAAAAAAGATCGTCAGTATTTCGGTGTTTTTTCTTCACAAGAATTCGCAGAGGCTATGTCAGTACATAGATTTATTCTAAGCTATTCTTCGAACAATAAACGGTAGATGCGTATAGTTAAAAACACATAACAAAAACGGAAATGAACACAGCAGAGTGCCGCACGCTTAATAGACGCTACACGGAAAAGCTATTCATACAATATCTCCTTCGTAGCATTATCTAATCATTCGGAAAATTCACACGTTAATCACTTGTTTCTTAGTATTTATTATACTTTTGTTTATATGATTTATAATAGCGGGTATAATACTGTATAAATAATTTGTTTTTAAATTATATACTATAGTTTTTCAAAACTGCAAATATATCAACAAAATAGCCGTGGACAAAGACTGCACGGGAACAAACGAATAAAAAACAATAGGAAACCTAGTGCATACATAAAACTATGTCGGCACAGTTGAATGCGACTAAAACACAAAATATAGTTCTGAATTCCCTTCGTTAGCTTGTCACTCACACACGTAGCACAATTTAATGACATCATCTATTCTATAATAGAATGGAATATAATTATTTATTTCAGACCATGATCCATAGTAATATTAGTAATACAGTAAATTTTTCTTACGTGTTATAGTTAGTACAATACAAAATTATTTAATGCTAAAGAAATGCCACGTCTAGCCCACTACTCTACAGACGTTGCACCCAATGTTCTTGCCAATGCCATAAAAGACCATAACCCAGTTTTAGAATATTGAAATTGAAATTGTAATGGTATTTTAGCTATATATATGATTAGGGTAATGTCCGACTCGCTAAATAACTTTAGCTGTTTTTAAATAGAGAATTTTGAGCTCTATCTCATGCTATTTAAAACGGATCTTTGACCACTTGTCCCTTAGCCGCGTTTTAGTCAGTGGACGGCAGATTAGCGCTGCCGCACACGCGTATGTAGAGGATGATTCGTGCTTTAAGCATTAAGAATATGTACATAGTCTAGTATAAATCTTCAATCTTATTAATTTTCACTAGAAAATATTGTAGTAGGTGAAAACTTGTTTTTAATCGACTTCAAATAAAAGAGGAGGTTCATAATTCGACTGTATTTTTCGTGTGTATTATTTTATTCCAACACTTGTGAATCGACTTCGATGATTCTTTTTTGTTGGTGTCAGTCTCAGTAGTGGTCCCATTCAAATTTGAAGAAAATAATCCACCTGTAAGGTTAGTAAATTAGGGGATGACTCCGGTTTATTGAATTTCACCCACTTTCCGTTAACCGATTTGAATAAAACTTGAGAAATAGAAAATTCCACAAACTTTTGTGATCGGTTGTTTATTAAACTTATAATTATTGAGAATAAAAAAAAGGTCGCTTTTAGAGTGCCTTACTAACGTATAAAAAAGGAATCATTATGTCGTCGGTGTCGAGCCGTCTGAATCAAACCCAAAAACATTTATTCGGCTATTTACAAATAATATTAGAACGTAATAACTTACATAAGACATGTTAAAAACCAATAGATTAAAAACTAAAGTACACAATATTAGCCAAAATGATTGGTCTGCTCTGCTTTATTCTGGGCAGAGCCTCAGCGCTGGTTTTCAGCTGGAACCTAAGACGAGGTAGTTGGTTTCAAATACTTAACGTACAAATGTTAAGTATTTAAAACCAAGAACTAAAATCAAATAAAACTACAAGTTATAAGATGATAAAACTAGTTAAAAAACTGAATATAATTATAATTAAAAATGATTCTATAAATGTGCATTGTGCTTTTAACAAAGCTATATATTACAATATAAAAAAATAAAAAATGTTCATAATAATAATGTCTGAGGAATAATTGTAATAATTGAAATCAACAATGACTGATTAATAATTCTAATATATATGACATAATAATTTTAATTGGCATAAGTGCTTAATGCTTTTAGTATTTCTTGAATAGTATGTGCATTGTTTGGATATAATAATATTTCAACGAAGATTTACTCGTAACCTTGTGCTTTGATTGACGGCATAAATTAATTAATTAAATAGAAAAGTACGTTATGTCTGACTTTGTTTACGTCTTCATCTTAATAATATGATTAATGTACAGATTAACACAATTATGTCGACAGGGAGAGCTTCATTTTCATCTCTTACAAAGCTTGATAATAATTTGCTGTAGATCCTTGCTCAAGCTGTGTAGGTATCTTGTGTAAGAGAAAGCAGATAATTAATGATGCAGAAAAGACATGGAAAAAATAAATTGTTTATTCCATCAAATACCAAATTAAATCTTCCTCTGTATTCTGTGTAACGCTTGCGAAGTTACTTAATTCATTACTGAATTTGATAAACTGGTTAAATTGAGAACTTTTCACGTTGCATTATATAAATTTTGTTTTTTTAAGAATAGGATTTATAATAGGATTGAATCATCTAGGCGTGTATTTTTAACGTTTATTTTTCACAAGAGGGCGAAAGGTTTCACTTTGAAGCGTGGGGGAGATGACCTAAAAACGTATTCTGAATTTTTAACAAAGTCGAACGACTTCCAAAATAGCTCCCATGTGCTGTTTACTTCCCTTCCCTCTGTGTAAAGAGACAGCCTGCATAAATGAATATTTGATTTATTAATTAACCTCCACGGATGTGGCTTAGCATCTCACATTTTTAACCTTGCAATATTTTTTCCATAAAGTGCAGACAAGTTCGGTAACGTTTCGTATTTTCACTGAATGTTTGAAAAAGCATCTGAATGCAAAATAGCCGCCTTTACGCGACGTGACTGTACTAGATTATCTATGTAGTTAGGCATACTTTGTTGGAAACCTACAAAATGTTAAACCGAGAGACTGACTGCTTTTGTAGGTAACTAAACTACTTAATAACCTAAAGGGATGAGGCTAATTAATATTCCTATTTCCAACGAGTACACTCAATGTATAAATAAATTAATACAATACGCAATATTATACTCTCTACTCTCTTTTTTATTTATGTGAAGTATAATTGAAAAGTATGCATAATATGCATTTTCACAAACGTCACGTTTGTCCCTTTGCCTGACGCAGCAAAGGGACAAATGTGACTGATGACAAGACGTCCCATTTAGGATGTTTACGAACGTTACGTTTCTTCACGATACGGGAAATAGTAACATAGCTCGCTTTTTAACCGACTTAAAAAAAAGGTGGAGGTTCTCAATTCGTCTGTATGTTTTTTTTGTGTTTTACGCGATAAATACGTCATTTGTGAACCAATTTTGATGATTCTTTTTTGTTGGAACGAGGATACCTCAGAAGTGGTGCCTTTTAAATTTGAAGAAAATATTCTATCTCTAAGGGTGGCAAACTAGGGATGCAAGACATTTGAGGTCGGTTTTTTTAGTACTCTAAACTGATAATTATTTAAATATAATATCATCGATGTTTACATCATGGAGCAACCCGATTGTCTTTTTTTATTTTTAATGCACAATAAAAAAAATGTGCGATATGGTCCCATACATTTTTCAGCATAACTCTGCGCACTCGGCGACCTAATTTCAATACGTAATTAATACTTTATTTTAAGTAGTACGTCCAACTGTCCACCGATACACTACAATAAGGAAAGATGCGCAATGTGCCATCATCACTTGTACTTTATAAAAATGTACTATTACCATTGTCTTTGGAAGTCTTTCTCTGCGTATTACCAATACAACACATGTATGGAACAATGTAGCCCATACAAAGCGATTGAAAGAATTCTCATTCGATTGCTACAAATCTGAGAGTATGATTTGGTAGCCACTAAGTAGTTTTATGTAACAAATTTCTAGTAATTATTGGTTTGGGACTGAAGTTACGAGAATATAGTAAAGTGGCTAAATTACAAGATCAAACTCACACCTTCGCGGTTGCTGCGGTTTTTTGCAATGTGTTTGTGTTTTCGAATATTGGGCATTAGTGCATGTTTACAACTCAAGTGGAACTAATTACGTTCATGATACAGATGTGTATATTTGATTTACCAAAACTGAAGTTTTTGTATTGTATACAAGAAATAATATATATTATACAACATCACATAAGTAGCTCAAATCACAAAGTAAATAACTAAAGCACTTGTGTTATGGAAATCGGAAACAACGACGTAACACAAACGACCCGAGACAAATAGAAACGTTAGTTTCTACAGTGGCCCGACGGGCAATCGAACCCTGGAGTTGACCTCAGAGACGGCGATACAGTAAAATCCGATGTGCAAGCCACTCGACCACTGAAATGTATTAATTTTATATTATACTGTATAGTTAAAAATGTTTTCTTTTGTGTATTTAAAATACGGAATATAAAAACTTTCGTGAGGTGTATTGAAAATAAATAATAAGTTATTTGACCTCACCCGCATCTTCTGGGCAAACTCGTCCCATCGTACCGATTTTTGCTCCAGAGCTAGGTAGTGGACTAGAGCAAATCCATTTAATTAAAAAAATGTATATATACAGTACAAAGTACGAATTACAAAATATAATCATTATTACTACAAATCTGACAGTACAAAAGTATTTGAAATACTAATTTCAATATACATTATTACGCAGTAATTGAAATAAAAAATACGTATTTCTATTTCAAATTCATATTTGATTTACAAATATTTCAAATTTTTATTATTATAATATCTAGTAACGGGACGAAAGTCGCGCGCCTTGTAAGCGTGTCGCTTATCTGTAACAATTGCAGTACCATTCAGGGGGCCTACTCTCGATCTCCGTCCGACATCCGTCCAAAACAATTACTGTCAAATAATTAATATTCGACAAAATTAAAAGACAAGTATCAAGTATGAAGCTTCATTCGCATCACGCGTCTTTGCATTTGGTCACGTATTGCTTATTTGGCAGTAATTGTTTCGGACGGAGATCGAGAGTAGACCCCCACATCTTGAATTCGCAAGGATCTGATAGGCACTGTTACTGCATCCGTCACCCTGAGACATAAATTAACAAGTACTACGCGTCAGTAATTTCACTAGCATCGTTACTTTTCAAAACCGGAACGCAGTTATGCTCATACTACTAATAATAGGTATGGTGGCATTACTGCCCTGTACGAACTCTTTCACAAGGAGATCAAATCAAAAGAGAAACAGTTTCTAGCAGAAAGTCTGGAAGAAACACTGCGTAACCTAGCTAGAAACTATAAACCCTGGTTCTTTACATCTATCTTTGAATATCTATAGATAAGAATGTACAGAGAAAACCGTAAAAATATTTTCAGAGTGCCGTTCTCTATTGTTCGTTTTCATTTCAGTCTGTAATAACTCCGTAGCTTGCCATGCGATATTCGAATTGCTTGGTAAATATAGTCCATCTGGATATTCGCTTTAAGGTTTTAGTGCCTGGTCCGCTGTTTCTCTGAAAGTTTCTATAGCTAGAAGTATACCGTTACTACTGATTGATATTTTCCTTAATCTGAGTGCAGCGCATTTCAGTTCCATTACTATTGTTCGACAACAATAGAGCCTCTATTACTTTTCCATTTACCTACACAATAACTTCGCTTTCCGAATGTTTCAGTATAATTATATAACTACCAAATTGTTTTCGATCATCGAGTTGTTTCTGTTGTTGTTGACTTGTCTATTTTCATTTTTGTACCAGGCTCCAACTATGCGAATTAAAGGTAGGTATCTTAAAATTTTTAAATATAGCTCTATCTATATTTTGTTTCATTCTACCTCTATTTTCGGAACTTTTCAAAGTAAGGTGATTGGATTTGTTGAACGACTTTACATTTTTGTACATACGGCAGATACGTAGTTTACCGTAATTTTGCACAAGATTTCGTTTGGTTGCCACTACGTTCGTACAGGCAGATAAAATACACCCTAGGATTTGAAAATCAGTTTCCATATTTGATGAAATTGTACCGAACATCGCTTCCGCAGCTAGCAGACATTCTCTAACTCTAAATATAAATTCTAGACTGCGTCGCTTGTTTATCGACACTGTTTAATTTGTGTACTACGTGATGGAATTGTAAATTGCGAGTGGAATCGGGGCTATTCGCATCATGCTACTTGCAAGTTTATTATAAAGTTGATGTCAGAGCGCACTGTGATTAAGTTCATTTATTGCCCTCTGTAGACCCAGCGACTCTTAACAACGTACCGTGCTTTCGGCCACTAATTTGTTTACTTGGGTCGTTTGTTGAAGTATCGCTCGGCCTCCTCCTTTAAAGTCGATGCTTTGTCCCGCAGCCACAATTTATTGCGTTGCTCTCGATTCATTACTTTGGGTTTTCGAGGGCTTTCCACACGGAATGCTTCAACGTTTTTATCGCAGCTTTTATTGGAGGCGACATGCGTGTTTATTTCGGGCACGACGACGTGATCTCTCTAGTAGTTTCCTATTTTATCTATTTGTCAGTGAATTGCGATACTGTGACATATTTTCCTTTTCAATAATGTATTTTTGTTCACGTTTAATCAGTAAATAAGAGCACTTTGGACTCATACGAGAAATTTAAAGGCAACGAGATAAAGGGCATTAGTCGAAATCCTTCAATAAATCCGCTGTTCAAGTCCTTTGATACCCCTGACTGATTGCACGTACTGTAATGTAGGTTTGAACTTGTAGCGAACAAAGCAAACAGTATGCTAGTAATCCTGTTTCCCAATCGTCAGCATTTTACTGAAAAATTGCTTTCTTATTGTGTCTTTAATGCCAACCTAATTTCAAAAGTTGTAAACAAAATTATCTGCAGTTAAGAACAGATTTATGAGAGGCTTTTGGAAAGCTTAGTCGTTTTGAAGAAATGCTCATTATATGTATACAATTCGAGTTGAGCCTATATATATATAGAGCTTCTTCTATATACTACGTATATGTATACCTCCTATACATAAGAGGAAGCTCAGTCCACAGTGCAATTTATTTCTAGCTTAACTCAATAGCAGCTCTATTAATATGCTATGTTCTTGGGGTGAAGTTTCAATCGATGCTCCATCAATAAGTTAGTGCTCTTCCCTACTGGAATACAAACTCGTGCTTGCGAACCGCTCGGCGAGGTAATGGATTGCTAATATTAGCCAAATCTTGTAAGTTTACACCCCACACCCCGTGGGTAAGCCGCCTCCATCCGTCTTTTTTGCAGCTATTCGTTTCCCACAGTGCAGGATTAGGGCGCAGGGCGCGAGGGTGTCGACGTGTTACTAAAGAGTACTAGTCGTGTATTGAGGGTAGGGCTTGAAATACACCAAATTAAACGGAAATTGAAGAGTGATAGCGATTGATTTCAAACTGCGCCTAGTCACGGAATGCTTCCGAATATTATGAATTCAGAAAGCCATGATTATGCAATGCTTTGCGCTTTTGGTATGATTACAATTTTATTATCACTGGGGATTGAGTAAATCAATATAAAAAAAATATTTAAATGTTTATACGCAGTCAGCATTGACTTCTTACTTGTATTAGTATCTTCAATAGACGGGCAGCAGACAATGGAAGTGTTGACTGCACCCTTCATTTTTTTATGATCAGCGCGACTAGAATTTCTTGAAATATGACACGCGGTTCCCCCAATAAAGGCAGCAAACGGCCTTTACCGCTTAGCAAAATGACAACGACACTATAAAACATTTTATGTCACTGCTTTTGTTTACTTCAAACCAAGTTTCGACGGGGACGCGTATAGCATTATAGAAAAAACGGCTTTGCTCTCTAACAAGCGCTCGTTTTTGTTCATGTATTACTCTTGTATACACAACTTTTGTCACAATTTGAGGTTTTTTAACTTACGGTGATCGTTTTTTTTTATTTACTTGAGAAATGAATGCGAAATCGTAAATGTTGGTAAAATTTTATGAAAAACTCACACGTGGTTCGAAATATCGTATACAAGCATCTACGAACCGAAATATCAATTCAAGATTCCGAGGATGACTTCGAAACAAACAAAATATTCAGACTTATTATGTAAATTTACTTTGAAGGTAACCGTTACTGTAAGGTTTCATTGTTTGTATTTTGAAGACAAATAAGAGCGCATTCCATCCGTCTCCCTCAGGTGCCGACGGCGGCATGTTGGGCGCGCGGCTCAAGTCATGGGTGGAAGCACAATTAGGGCGGGCAAAGAAGCGTAAACAGAAGCAATCGCGGCAAACCAGCACTGTGACGACAGGGCCATTGCCCCCTCCTCATCTGTCGTCTCCTGAGAGCGCTTACAGCACGGGATACTCCACTGACGGCACGTCTCCCGGAGCGCCGCCCGCGACTCTCGCCGCTCCGCTTGTGGCGCCTCCGCCGCCGCCAGCTCCACCTACCACACATCTTTATCACGAACCTGCTAAGGTATGTATGAAGTGGACGCTGTGCTTATAACAGACTACAGTGTCGCTTCAGTCGGTGCAAAATACACGAGGACGCTCGAACTTACTGCTCATTAAACTGTAGAATGCAAGGTGTCAACTCTAATGATAAAGATTTTAGTTTCGTGTAAGTACATACCGTATTAGGCAAAAGTGTCTGTAAAAGAAGGTACTGAACCTAGACCTGACATAACGAGTCTGAACAATCATATAAAGTAACACATGTCGTTTATTACAGCTTTTGTTTGGGCGCATCCCTGACATTCAGTTGGACCTCGCATCAAATAATTCTCATTATCAGCCGCTTGTTGTTGACGAACGGGTATGGAATCTCATCGCATGACCTTGCGCACATCCATATCACATAATACAATATAATAATCTGCCCGTATCATACACAACATTTTTCTATACCCACAAAACACATTTTTTTTACAATAACATCCAACTTCAATTTGCTTGGAATAATATAATAATAATAATAATAACACACACACTCAACATAGCCCCGCACTAGGGAAACCGTGTGTCGCGGGTGCCATGGACACACATATAGACCACCACAAACCAGTAAGGTGTAACCACAAATTACACCTAAACTCACGAGAGAAACAAATAGGTCATACAAATATTTCTCCCGGCCCGGGAATCGAACCTGGGACCTCTGCGTGGCAGGCCGGCATGGTAACCGTTCGGCCACAGAGGCAGTTTAAGATGTTCATTATCGTAAAAATAAGATGTTCATTATCGTAAAAAGCGCTTCAATAAAATTCAAACCCTCACTTCCATATTTTTTGATACACTTTTGTCTTTTTTTATTTTAAAATCAAGATAATAAAAACTAATGTTTATCTATTTTGTACATAATGGTAATACAGTATTGACGTTTATACAAAAACAGTTCCTTGATTTTTAAATAAAACAGTCTATAAATCATCTTTGAAACATACGATCTAAGAAATCCAGAATTACGTTGGCCCTAAACAAGTCCAGTGTTCACATAATTCCCAGACAATAATCTCTTTATTCCGCTAATTGAGCATCGATCGTATATTCATATGTCCAAGCCTGACGTTATTTAATTAATTAAGTAGACCGGATAAATCGAAGGGGATCTTTTATCTAAATAAAGGTTGCTGATCGTCTATTATTTGAACGGTACAATATGTGTATAATGGTTTTAAATATGTACATATAAGTTGCGGGTTAAAAGATGAATTGGCGAAATATAAAATATTCAGCGCCAGATAATTTTCTTGAAAAGGAATTTCTGCAAAACTCGGGACTCGGGAAACTTGGTACCCACCAATAAATTATTAGACTTTTATGTTAATGGAAATTGAACCTATGACAGAACTAGTTGTTTTTAACAAGGTTTTATCTTTTAATAACTTCTATAAATTCGATTAAAATGTCGGGTAATATTTAATTAGAATGATCGATTTTATATACGTATATGTTTAGTTTCGCGCAACGCCGATAGATGGCATTAGTTGTACCCTGAATCACACTAGCGGTTTGTTCACGCCCGAGTATGAAGTCATCTTAGGTAAATTTTTGTCTCGTGACTTTCCTTGTCTTGGGGAGCATAGTGCGCAGTGATCGTAACGTGAGAGCACTTATGCTGACACCCGCAAGTTATCTTGTGTACCCGCGCCCGGCTGCCGCAAGGGAGTCCGAGCGCAATTTTTGAATAGCCCTTTTACTTCACAAAGGGCTTGCTTGCCTGTAATAATGATGAATGATGGCATCGTTTTACTACCACTTTACCTGCTTTATACCCTTAATTTTTTTTATAAAAATCTTTATATCACGAAATGAGGTGGCCGGAACCTAGACGTAATTACCAACGCAGATTTAAAGAAGTAGCCTATTTGTTATTAAAAACTATAAACTTTTTAATAAAAATTGGAAAATGGCAATATACGAGTATATATCTACATATAAGTTTATTCGAGTAGTAGCTGAATACGCAACATTCACATTTTTTGTTTTTTTACAATAAACGGCGTTATCATATCAACCTAGAAATCAACCTTTCAGTTGTTCAAACATTAATTGCGTTGCAGTCCCTTTACGAGACAAGCTCGCCTTTGACACAATTTTTTAAGTCATTTTGTTGTTAATTCATATGTTGTGTTTTGTAGTACAATAAGGTGTTTACTTACATTCATATGGTATCTAACTGTTTTGTTAAGGGTTGATCTTGCACTCTAAATCATAGTTAGTTTCCTAAAAGTGGTCCCTACTAGTGGGCGTTGAAGAGTTCTAGGGGGGCAGTAGGCGCCTCGGAAGCAACTGGGGGGCGTTGGTGCTGTCCAGGGGGTACTACCGCATTTGAAAAAAAATCTGTTTTTTGTCTTGTGATTTTTTTGTGTTAAGTTAATATAAAAAATACGTGTTTTCAATTATTTTTTGTGGTGGTGGGCGTTGCTTATCTTGCCTAAGTGGGTGGTGAGCCAAAATATTTGGAAACCTATGCTCTAAATTAATATGTGTGTTTGCATTCCACGGTTTGATTTTATTATAGGATTCATTACTTCTAATACCTATAATAGCCACACGCAAAATAGGCGCCTTGACGTCGAGTTGCGGACACCAGCCCGTTGCACCAAGTACCAAGTACCTATAATAGCCAAATAGATATAAGGCATATAATTTACGCATTACAGAGACGGACTAACCCTCCGAGACGATGCGTACCAGACCCACCAGTTGTGTCAGCCACCCCATCCCCACGCCCACGTTGCCGGATACGCACGAACCCGTGGCTCGGGGCTACTTCACCGAACGTGCGAAGGAGACAACCTCCACATCTGCTGCATCAACAAAGCCTGCAGTGCCCGCAGCCACAGCATCAAAACCAGTTTAAACATGCGCCTTTTTCGCTTGACTCTTATCCGGCTAAAGGTTTTAGGTGAGTTCAATATTTTTTTTCATAGCGCATTATCTACACTAGCTATCTACTTCAACCATGTTCTTAATCCAAAAGAGTGACAGTTCCAAGACATATGCAATTTTTTCAAAGGCCATAAGTGGAAACAATAAATAACAATAAAGCATTCATTTTCATTGTATTTGCTGTTGGTGTTTTCCGTATTCGGTGTAATAAATTCAGACAGTGAGTAGGTAATTACATAACTTTAGTTAATCTCATGGAATAAACAATAATCTGAATGACTACACGATATACTTACTTTGACAACATTCTGTACAAAATCTTTTTTTCTACTCAAAATTTCGCACCTCGATAGGTTGTCAAAATAATTTCAACTTTACTTCAGGATTTTATTTCTTTGAAAACCTCGGTGTCCACCACTCAGCACTCCGACGACGTCCAAGTTTAGACCTACCTAGACAAACCAGAAACTAACTTCTCCAAATAGTTTGTGTCTGAGCGTTCTGGGTTAGTGCTCCCGGAGTTAATTTAACTAGTCTGGTAATCATAGTGAAGGATACTTCCTATTTAATGGTGTGAATAATGATAATGATAATAAAATCATTATGATGGTGTGAATATCAGGTACACTATTATTATACACGTAATAACCTTTTATTCCTATAATTTCAGATCACCACACCTATCTCCTGAACCATACCGTACCCCATATCGATCACCGTACTACCGCGGAGGGGCATCCAGCGACGAAGAATGTCGAGGCATGAGGACTAGAGGCCGGGAGACAGCGATACTGTCAGACGCTGATATTGACTCTGATGGGGACACAGGATTGGATGGTGGGGATGAGGATGAGCCTGATGAAACGGCGTCGCCTGGTAGGAGGCGGGCTCGAAGAAGGCGGCCGCCACGACGACCGCCGAGATCTGCTGGTACGATTTTATACAGACATAATTATGTCTATTAACAAATCCACAGAATACGTAACTAATGGTTACACAACTTTACCAAAATACAATAAGAGTAAAACTATGACTAAAAAATGACATACGTACAGTATTTGTTTTTATATAATATCCTATTACGCATACAGGAAAATCAGCAACACCGGTTTGTCAGTGAGCAGCAAAGTATAGTTTACTGTCGTAGTTAATTAGCAGAATATTCCATCTTACCTGTAGGAGCAACTCCACCTCGTGTCCGGCGTAGGAATCACGCGCCGTCAGCGCCGCCAGTCAGGGAGCGAGATCCGTTGCTCGAAGCAGACAGAGAAGCGGAGAGAAAGTACAGGGAGCTCATACGAGAGGCTGAGAAGTTGCTGGTCACGGTTTCTAGGGCACCGCTTGAACCACCGCACAACCCGAGGATCAGGGAACTTAGAGCTACCGAGGTAAGTTATAAAGCTGATTAAAACAATGTGTGTGCAACACCTTTTAATTTTTCATCAACCAATTTTAAGATCTACTACTTTTCTTGACAATTATTTTTGTAGCTAAACTATATTGCATGTTAGCCTGTCGTTATTTTCGTTTCAAGGTCGAAGCGCCACGACGGAGCCCAGAACGCACGCATATTACAAACTTCATGCGTGCTAATTCTCCTGAGCCTCCCCGGAGGCTGTCCCCAGTTGCTCGACGTTCTCCCCTGGCGGCCCCTCCACCCCCTCCCGTCGCTCCGCGAGTCCTAATGCAACCACCATCGCCCACTGATCGTCCGCACTCCGAGCCTCCAAAGAGGAAGATATATGCTCGCGATGAGGTAAGCGTCATAAGTATCCTAGTCCAATGACTAATACCTGGATTTCTGTCTCCTGATGTTTTCCATTTTCTTTTTCTTACGTACATTTTGTGGTTTTGCCCATAAATGGTTTAGAAGTTTCATGAACCGGAAAGATCATAGCATTTTAGTGTCAATCATAGTATGTGACGTCTATGAATGATCATAATTGTAAACATTCACGTAGGCTTTTTTTGTAGATATAAGGAAACTTATGGAAGCTGCTGACCAGAGTTTGCTTTGATAACAAATCATAAAGTAAAATAATAATCCCCTTGTTGATAGACATATCTGTAAAAATTTTCCATTTTAATGTTGTGCGCAATCATCATTTATCCTAATACGTTGTTGTTTATAGTAAACAAAGACGTAAGAATTAATGAGATAAACGATTTAAAATAGTTTTCTTAAGTAGTTTTTACGTCATTATATCTAATATTACCGCGGCGGGGAAGTTCATACGATTAGTTTATATCCTTAATTTTTAAACCTTTTTTACGCCAATAATGACTCGGAAATAAAGGCAAGGTAACAGTAACACAGGTATTCTGACAATAAATGTTTATTATCATTTGATAACAAAATCAGAAGAAATCGAAATATGTATCTCAATTTGGATATCATCATATAAGATTAAGATTATTCATTGACACATACAACAATAACATACAACAATGCTGTATTGTTCGATAAAATTGTTATTACTCTAAAATTATGAATATTAAAAGATTTCAAACATAGTTAACAATTGTAGGGTGGACAAATTTATGAATGTAATACGATAAAACTCTAATTTATAATACCATGGTTAAAATGTATATTATATCATTAGTGTATTTTGCTACGCCCTTAAAGGGTATCACATGTAGTTCCTACCATAGTTCTAAGTTTGTGTACTATGACACTTAAGACTATATGTGAAATGCAAATAAATAAATAAAATAACTAAATATCAAAATTTCACAGGTACTCCAAACTCTTGAAGGACTGCGCAAGAGTTTGCAACAACAATCGGCATTATTGGCAACTCAACGCACAGCGATGCAGCGGAACCGCCTCGATTCTCTATAGCCGCCCCGTCCTGCCTAACTAGCCGTCTTTAGACCCTTTCATTCATTAGTCCACTACAATTAAGTGGACTAGGGAGACTTGCAGACCCTACAGAGGCATTTCTTTTGTTGACTAGTACGCTCATTTCGCGGTGTAGTGTAGATCCCACAGACCACATAAATATTAGGTAGATCCTATATTCAATTGGCCGACTGAATCGCACTGTATTGAATGATCTTTAACTAAAGATCGCTAAAGATCGCTAAACTTCAGATATGTACGGATATAAGGAAAGGGGCGATGTAGTCCCACGATGTAGAATTAGGATGGTTGCTACAATGTTCACTACAAATGTAGATTTCTTAATAATGGAATTACTCGGTCGGTTAGTTGTTCTATACCTACTCCCTCTTCTAGTCCCTCCATATTATTATGTTTTAGTCTAGTCCGTCATGGTAGACTTTAGACTGAAGCGTCAACGCCTGATTATGTGAAAATTTATGTGGTGAACTGAGCCTATATAGGATGTATTTCAATTAATTAAATAGGTTTTTGCACACCCATCCATTATCCCGACGTTTCAATCAGGTTGCACTTGTAGTCTCGGGCTGAATATATATCGCACATAACTAACATAGTATTATCTCAAAAAGTGCGTTATGTATCTATATATGTCATTCGCATATGATTTAATCTTAAAGTGACAGTGTTGTCCTGTAAATTTTTGACATAAAATATGTATAATACAACGTAATTTTTGAGACAAAGCTATATAAGTTGTCATGTGTGATATATTGTGCACATACCTATTAAATTGTTTAATTGCGTTTGTTCCATTCCAGTAATGAACAATTAAAGGTAATTGTCAGTGCAGAACTGACATTCCAATTCATTGATATAATATATGAAATAACTTCCTTGTTGAATTTCTTGGTTTTCTATTTCAATCTTTGACGCTGTAGTCAGAAATCTGCCTTTAGCTTAGCGTAGTGTAGTCCTTGTTATCGTTTCGTATAGGCGAGGCCGTTTTCTCTTCCATGATACTCGTAGTCTTTTTAATAGTTATACTTAGTGTAGTTCGTATGGTTGCTTATTGTGGCGAAACTGGAAAAATAAAACCACTATGTTAAGCAACGATTTACCAAAAGAGAAAAGGACACTTGTTATTATGTTCGATTGTCTGATCTCGTTTGTTTTGAAAAAAAACGACAACGATACGGATTTAATGAAAATTTTCATTAATTTCCGTTTGAGTTCCTTAAAATGTGCCAATCACTTAAGCTAATCACTTTGTTAAATTTAAAAAAAAAATACTTTAGAGATAAACTTTCTGGACATTCAATCGATCTCAAATCTTTGTACAATCTACGAAAGTTATTATTCGGCTGTTCCTCAACCGATATTAATGACATTTGAAACTGGCATAAAAAATATAATTGTACTGGTAAAATATAATTGTACAAAATCCCAATTTTTGAATTTAGATTTGTGACCAGATATGATGTCAAAGGTACGTTTTTTAGCAGGTTTCTTATGACCAACTAAGGCTAAACGTAAACAATCGACGACAATGTTAAAAGATCTGTGTGCCAGATAGGGACTGACTAAATTCGTGAAATTTGCTATTAAAGTCGTTAAAGTAATATACACTAAACATTTTTTTTTAAAAAAGGACAACAAATCACGGAGCGGGCCACGATACGATCTCCGCTTGTAAAAAAAAAACTGTTTTGGTTCTGGGAATGCTTGGAGTTTGTTGATAGTACCTAACCATGTTAAGTCTACGGGAGAAATAAAAGCAAGAAAAATATCTATGCTCGCACATTTTTGCAGAACTGCGAAAAAAGAAGAATAGTAGCGAATGAATATTTCGCCTGCTAGCGCTTGGTTATTTCATTAAACCATTATCGTACCTCTATTTCTAATCAACTTTTACCCCAGTTTCGGCCACAGTGGTAGTCGCATAATACAGGTTAGATGTTGTAGCACATATTTGTATCGAGTAACGCCGTAGAATTAGGCCCTACGCTAAGGTGATGCAGGTATTTATGACCACTCTGATTATATTTGTGATTGGTTCTATTTCTTGAATCAACTGGTCAACAGTGACCTCGAACATCTTGATAAACCTGTCGTCTTTAGCGTTCGATTAGATCTAGCTAGCTGTCTCTGACTCTAGGGTAAGGCAACCGTGGCCACGGCGTATTAAGACTGCGTTATTACTTATTTATTAAGGTTACGTTTGTGTTTGAATGGTGGAATATATTTCATTCTCCCATTTTGAGAAATGTTGAACGTGTGAACTGTGCTCCAAAAATTCAAGAAAAATGTACTTAAATAATTGTCCAGAAAACACTTGTGCTTTTAACAATACTTGTATTGTTTCAAGAAAAATATGACAAATATTGTATGAGACTCGTCTCATTTATGTTGGCCGTGATATTTGTCTGTTCTGTTCTGTATCTGTGGTTAACAATTTGTTTATACATTATAAACAAATTGTTACAGTTAAATTATTGTAATAATAGTTATTTGTTTATTATTATTTGTTATGCAAGGCTGCAAAGTTATTGTTTGACGCGAGTCCTTGTATTGAAACCGAAGCAAGCGAAGGAAGATAAGATTGAACCATGAGCGAAGCGAGTGGTTTATAAATAGATTCCCTGAGCGTAGCGAGGGCTTCAAGACACGAGACGCAAAACAACTTTGCTGCCGAACGAAACACATACCTTTTCACCTCACTATAGCGAGGAAAATGGTAGATGAAAGAAAAACAGTTGAACTACAAAACATTACTTCTTTTCAATTAAATGAAAAAGTTTATCTTCGTACCTACATGTTCTGAATTTACATCTCATCCATTTTTATACATGTGTTTGTACTTTTATGTTGTGTGATTAAGAGATTATTGAAATTATTTTAGTTTTTCAACGAATTAAAATAATTTAATAAACACAATTAGTTATCATTGTCAACTTAATGTCAACATTAATAAGAATAAAATATGTTGCTATATTTTTATTACACTAGGATTTATATTACGTAAATAAGTAAAGTAAGTAAGTAAAGAAAGACAAAGTTAGGTGCACCACAGTCCATCGTCAAGTTCGAATTTCAAAAACTTTTTCCACGCTAGCGTGCAAAAAACGCTTTTGGGCGCAGGTTTCTGATGAGAAAGAATGTATTTCCGTGCTAGTGAGGTGAAAAAGATTTTTGCTACATACACACAAAGGTACCTACAACATAACAATCGATGACGCGAACAAAAAAAGTAGTAGTAGTAGTTCGAGGAAAAAGTAACAAATGGACCTTACTTTGTAAGGAGCTTTTAAAATAAGATATTCTTCCATTTGAACCATGTAACCAAATAAAGGCACATAGAAAATTTGTACTTCTTATGTTTACGATGGAAATCGGATATGATAATTCTAATCTAAATACTTGTAAAAAACAGTAAAAACTGTGAAGTGGAACTTTTCTTTGTGTCGTTACATTATTTAATTATTTATATGAATGTTTACTCGTTATATCCTCAACTCGAATAGTGTTTTGGACGATCGTATTGAAAAAACAATGGAAACATTAAAAAAGTAAGAAATAGAAATGCAGTGTCTTATAAGTACATACATAAATAAGTTCCAAGCACTTTCGTAAAAAACATTGCCAAGGTTAAATTAAAGTACCTACTATGTTTTCATTTAAAATGGACTGAATGCAATGAACTTTACAAGGATTCTTGACATGTTATTTTAATGTACTTGTACGTTTTTATACAAGTTTATGACAAAAAGCAGTAATGCACCGGAACAAAGGTATGCAAATATATTCCGACCACAACAATCTACACCCGTGTTGCCAGATGGTTAAATTTCTTACATTTTTAACTTTTGACCCTCTTGCGTAATATGTATGGTTTTTAAGGCAATTTCCGTAATTTTTGAGAACGAGGAGATATTTTTTTTTAATTCAACCGTACTATATCTTTCTAATTTCTGAGATCAACCATATTTGTTAATGTAAATCCTAAATAGTTTAGGAACGCACCCAAATTAGACAATACCTAGCGTAACTCAGCGCAAACAAAATGATTTCTACTAATTGTACCTCATTCATTATCCTTAGACCATAGCTAATTATGGAATAAAGTTTGATTTTTCTCTACTTTTTTGTTTAACGCGTATTTACATACAATCGTTTATATCGTTTACACTTTAAATGTAACTTTTGCAGCAAAAATTCCACTTTTCAGGAAACGAAACGTAATTTTCAACTCAAGGGTTCTGGCACACAAAATCATCAACGCCTGTTAGGCTAATTGTAAAATAACGATACATTCTTTAAGAGGCCAAGTTCGTTAATGTCCTTGAGGTACGTACCTAAATGCTTACTTATAAATACCGAGCTTCAAAATTCGTCCTAAACACAATTGGAGAATTAAGGGCGCAATCAGTGCCCATATTTTTGTTAGTGCAATTTTGGATCACCGCACAGCGTATGCGTATCCAGCTGAATGTACATAAATTTACCCATTTACTTGTTTACTGTAAGTATAAATAAGATTTATACGTTTAGTTGAATTTTCATTAAAATAATTATACTGAAATACCAACCAGTGATTTTTATTTCATACAATAAAATAATATTCCTTGATCCGTAACAACATAAAAGTAACTAGTAGTTTTTAGTAGCAATAGAGTGCCACCTTATATATTTCTGTCGCCAAGCAGTAATGTCAGCATTACTGCATTACTCCGGTTTTGAAGGGTATGCGTGCTAGTGAAATTACAGGCACATGGGACTTGTCAACTTACGGGTGACGGGCACAGTGGTAGTACCCCTCAGATCATTGCAGTTTAAAGCTCTAAGTGGCACTGTAACTGTTATGGACTGGCGTAGCTTACAATCAAGCGCACGACTTGTTCGTCCCGTCACTTGACGTTATATAAGAAAAACTCAATTTATGTTAAGCTAAACACACGCACATACACACCACACCTTTTTTAACTTGAAAACTATTACAAAATTCTCAGCAAAAACAAATTTGACATGAAATCTTTAGTTGTTGCACACCGTACATTAGTTGTTCAATTAGGCTCTCTAATTTCTATCTCTCTTTCTATCTATGCACAAGTTACGACTTTATTAACAAAGTAAATAGCTACAAAAAGCGGCAGGAAGTTACAGATTTTACACAAATTAATTTTTAGTTCAAGTTTAATTTGTTTTGAGCTTCGTAATTATTTCTTACCTATTTAAGCTGATAGCTCTATAGAGAATGCTTAATAAATAAATAACAAAATAGTAACAAAGTAAATAAATAAAAAAATAAAAAGACTTTATTCTTCAACAGAAAACACAACAATATTTAAGATAAAACAATGCTTAAATCTATGTCGAAAAAAAAGGAAAAAGCCTCAGCAATTTGCTGGTTTTCAGGCCTCACCCGGCAAGTATTCGCCGCTGGAGACACCGTAGCATATAGAGACGGGTATCTTTTCGAATATATATATAAATAAATAGGAGGGCATATCACTCACTATATACGTTTACTACATAAATAACAAACCTTAAAACTTAAAACGACATACGTATTGACCACCGAACATACTGCACTTAGCAGCAAAGAGTATTTCACTGTGTACATAGAATACAACAAGCAGAGAATGGAATTTAGAAGAATATAGAGTACATTTTTAATTCCAATTATAATCCTACTTTTATTATTTCCAATGACGTAACAGAGCCTACATCACCTTTGACCAACAGTATGATGTCTTCTGTAGATTAAGCAGCCATTCCTTGCACTTACACTTGAAAGTATATGACGATTTACATATTTTTACTGGCGGTGGAAGATCGTTCCAACACTTAGTTGCCGCAAAACGAAAGCTGCCTCTAAAAGAATGTAATCGAGGAGAATGTGACAATTTCAAACTCGGATAGCGTATCGTACGGGTGCTGCCCTCCACTCTATCGTTCCAAATCAGCTTATCTGCCAAGTACGGAGGCGACAGTTTA